CACGACAAGCAAAGATGGTTGTCACACCAGCCCTATCTGCAATCGGTATTGATGTAAATAAATTAACATTATCACATTCCACTCTAATAGAAGCTCGAACTACATCTCACCAATCTCTTTTAACAGCAGTAAGTAAAGATTTTCAACCCTTGGTTCCGCTAGTTACTCATTTTGATGGTAAAATGTTGTCATATGTTGATAGAACCAGACGCGAATGTCTGCTAATTGTTGTGTCTGGCTTGGATATTGAGAAATTACTAGAGATCCCTGAGATACCTGCTGGTACTGGTGCTCTGATGGGACAGAAATTAGTTGAGTTCATTCATGAATGGCCTGGCGTCGAGGAGCATCTTGCAGGTCTTTGCTTTGACACAACTGCAAGTAATACAGGAAGTTATAATGGGGCAATAACTGTCATACAGAAGTCAATGAACCGAAGAGTTTTGTTTTTAGCCTGTCGACATCATATTCTTGAAATTTGTGCAAATGCAGTGTTTGATACGTTTTTTGTATCAAAAGAACCAAACATTAAACTTTTTGGTAGAGTGAAGTCCCAGTGGGAGTTAATAGAAAAATCAAAGTTTGAACCACTTGAATGTGATACAAGAGGAACTGGATGCCTTACAAAGCTTGAAAAAGAGTGGCTTGCATCTCGAAAATCCGATGTTGTGGAAAATTAAAAAAAAACTTTAAGGACACTCAACCATGTGATGAGTTTGGGCAACTAGCTCTTCTCGTTTTGGGAGAAAATAATAATACATTAAGTATTCGCACTCCTGGGGCTTACCATCGTGCAAGATGGATGGCTAAAGGAATATACTGTTTAAAAATTTTTGGTTTTCGTCATCAATTAAATGTCACAGATAAAGAAATCGGGATTTTAAAAAGAATTTGTCTCTTCATAACACAATTTATAAATGTTTCTGGTTTTCAGCACCTCTCACAACAGAAGCACCAAAAAATGATCTCCTTCTTTTAAAAGTAATCGAGAACTATTGACAAGTTGACAACAAAGTTACAAATGTTGCAAAAAATAAAATTAAACTTCAAATATTGTATTTAAGTGAAGATCTAGCTGCTCTCCCATTATTCAGTGAAGAAATTTCTTTTGAAGAGAAAATGGAAATTGTAAATGCCTTACAAAAAGAACCATTACCAGGTGACAATAGAAGGCTTGCTTCAAACAAGATTTATACATTCTCTAAACTTTCTATAGCTAACTTTGTTACATGACGCTCAATGAATTTGTTTGACTCTCTCAATCTACAAAAAGAGTTCTTGACATCATCTCCTAAATCTTGGGCTAATCGTGATGACTACAAGGCTGCTTGTAAGATTGTTTGTGCCATGAAAGTGGTTAATGACTGTGCAGAACGGACAGTTAAATTAGCTACTAACGTTAATGAAGTTTTGACAAAAAATAACAATCAGCGTCAGCTTCTTTACCAAGTAGTTGAGTATCATAGAAAAAAAATTCAACTGAAGCTACAAAGAGACAGTAAGCCATAATCATTCTAAATAACAGCAATTTAATCTATTCAAATATGCATACATTTAGTATGAACTAAATATATAGTTAAATACATATATGGCTATTGTTTTTCTGTAGTATTTTAATTTACTTATATGTCAAGGTTTGATTAAATTATGTATGTTATTTTATTAGAATAATTTTAAATGTTGATATTTGTAATGTTTTCTTGAACGCATAAAATTATATTTTTTATATATATTATATATTATATATATATATTATATATATATTATATATATATATTATATATATATATATATATATATATATATATATATATATATATATATATATATATATATAAAATATATATAATATATATATATATCAACCCTCGGAATTAGGAAAAATGAGGTCGGTAATATTTTGCCGACCTCAATTCTTTTTTAGGGCAGCATCAAGTCAGCAAAAATTATTTGATACAAAGGTCTGACCATTAAACATAGAAAAGAGATCGACAATTCGCCAACCTCAAACACTTTCAGATCGGCAGTTAGGTCAGCATTGCCGAATGCTGACTCTAATTCCGAGGGTTGTATTATTTATATATATATATATATATATATATATATATATATATATATATATATATATATATATATATATATATATATATATATATATATATATATATATATATATATATATTAATATACTTAATTAAATTACATTAGATCTATTTTCTTTGGTTGTTTGCAGGGCACATGTAACAGCTGTAAGCATAAAATTATAAGTTTGTCCTGGTTTTGGATTTTTATAGATGTAAGACGTTGCAGAGGGAGAAAGAACAACATATTCTCCAAAGTTTATTTCTAATTTGTAGCCAATTAGTGTTCGCCGTAAAATACAACTGGCATCTTTGTTGATTGGTCTAGAAGTATCTAAACAAGAGAACGGGTGTCAAATAAATAAATTGCTCAATAAAACAATTAAAACTATAATTAAAATAATGACAATAAAATCATTTTTTTTTTGTATTACAAACACAGTTCAAATAGGGAGCACAATATATAATTAATTATGCAGAAAGAAAAAACCAAACCAAGATCTAACAGCACAGGTCTGTTCCATGATAACTCAAATTCTTCCTGACTGATGTTAGTAACTAATAACTTTGGTACAGCAGGCGGTGCTCTTGTCCAAGTTGTGACAATATTGGTTTGAAAGATCTCAGAAATGGGACTATCTTGGGCTGTTCCAAAACAACTTTCTATTTGAAATTGAATTTTTGAACCAGGAATAAGATTGTCAACAGTTGTTTCTGATAATGTACTACTAATATAAAGTTTACCAACTTGAGGTTCTCTCACCAGAGGAATCTAAATATATTTATGTACTTTAATCAAAACACATATAGTACATTATTAGATCAGGCATATCATAGTTATATCTAAACACATAAAAGTTAGATAAACGAGTCTAGAGAAAACAATAAAGGTTGCCTAGATCAGAAGCAAACTCACAAACTTTCCAAATTTTTATAAACTTTCACAAACTTTCCAAATTTTTATGCTCACAAACTTTCCAAATTTTTATGGCGCCATGTAAACATTATTTTTTAAAAAGTTTTTTTTCAACTTCAGAATAATATACTTTATTGCAAAATTTAATTATTATACATAATTAACCACAAGTTTTTTATCTTTTTGTTACATTTTGCAACAAAGCAAATTTTTTAAGAATATACAAATATTACAATCTTATGATCATTTTGTTGTCTCTAATTTTTGCCCCTAGGAACAAGAGTCAAAGACAAATGAGCCAAGGACCAAAAACAATAGTCAAAGATCAAAGAGTCAAAGAGTTTAAAAACGATTGATCATAATTAGTACATATATTTGCTGATAAAATCAAAAATTTATTTACTATATTTTATTTAGTTATTATAAAAAAATATTGGTCTTTTAACCTGTATTTTTTTAGAAAAGATAGAAAAATAGAAAAAGTAAATGCATTTTATTAAGTAAACTATTAAGATTCTAGAGCTATATATACATGCACATTTGTAAATAATAATAAAAAAATATTTTTTTTGCAAACAGAAATGAACCTTTTCCCGAGAAGATAAATACTCCTGCTCTTCAACTTCAACTTCGGACCAACAAACCATGTTATAAAGTAAAACATACATTCCATAAGCTTTGGCAGGTTTCCAGGTCAAATGTATACTATTGGCACTTCGGTTTGCAACGCAGAGATTTTCAGGTGGGTTAATTGCAGCTGTGAATCCAGAAGTTGTTATGGAAGGTGTCCAAATGTCATTAACAAAAGGTTCTTTTTCATGAACTGTGTCATAAAGCTCTTTCAACATATTGACATTAGAATGGGGTGTTACCATTAGTAAACTAAAAACATATTCTGTCTTTTCTGAAAGATTTTTGACTTCATAAATGACAGTGTCAGGAGAAATTTCACAGACTCTTGGTATAACATCATTTATGCTACTGTTAGTTATAACAGTTTTCTTTGTTTTAAGCTTTCTTTCAATAAACTTTGGAATACTTGATAAAGAATCACTGCTAGCTGTAAACGGATTACAAACTGGTCCAGTTATAATCAGTAAATACTTTGTGACCTTAACACCTCGAAGAATGGGTTCATTCCATGCTAACTTTATAGATCTTGTTGTTCCTCCGATGACACTAAACTCAGTTGGTGGCAATGGTGGATGACCAGTTCGAAAAGTTACGATTGTAGAAATTTCTTTGCAAAGATAAGGATCATGAGGATCCCATGCATCACACTGGTTTTGATGACGAGCTTTCGACAGCACAGCAACATCATAATCTGTACCTGGTTGCAATTCAGATATAAACATTCTAGTTCCTGAAATCAAGTAAATAAACAAAGTAAAGTTCTCTCTATAGTTTATATATGTATATAAATATAAACACACACACACACACACACACACACACACACACACACACACACATATATATATATATATATATATATGCACTTACTAAAATGTGTTTTGATAAGCATTTGCTCACTTTTTTTGCTTACCTTAAGCCATACCATTTTTTTCGAAAAAGAAGAAGAAAAAATGAAGAATTAAGAATGAAACGATTGCTTCCCCATCCCAAACCCTCAGTCGATGTAGCAGCACTCTACTGCGAGTCAGGCTATTTGTCAGTCGATGTATGTACTGAAGCCCCCAGCAGCAGGCTATTTCAGTATGACGTCAGATTGCTTACCTTAGTACGAAATACTATTTGTATATATATATATATATATATATATATATATATATATATATATATATATATATATATATATATGTATATATATATATGTATATACATATATGTATATATATATATATATATATATATATACATATATATATACACATATATACATATATATATATATATATATATATATATATATATATATATATATATATATATATATATATATATATATATATATATATATATATATATATATATATATATATATATATATATATATATATATATATATATAGGCGGGACGCCATCCTGCCACCTTTTTATAAAGTATAAACTAAACGAGATGGTATTCGGTAAATTAAAAATACCATCCCGCCTTGCCATTGTTATATATAGAGATTTATAAAAAGGTGGCGGGATGGTATTTTTAATTTATTAAATACCATCCCGTTTCTTTTTTTTTCCACTTCGAGCACTGTATATATATATATATATATATATATATATATATATATATATATATATATATATATATATATATATTATATATATATATATATATATATATATATATATACATATATATATATATACATATATATATATATATATATATATATATATATATATATATATATATATATATATATATATATATATATATATATATGTATATATATAAACTTGCATAACTACCATGGTTACTAACCTTTAGTTTCTTTACATTTTGAAGAACTCATACTAGCTCCATGTAACCAATATTGGACAGAAAACACTTCTGGACGAACAAGAATTGCCTCAAGTACATTTTTTGAGTATTTAGGTAATGAAAAATTCCATGCAAGTTGTACAGACTGACCTGTTACTTCAAGCACTGAAACTTTTTCAGGCGAAACAACAAAGTTATTAAATCTAACTAAAAGAGTTGGACCTGGTACACATGCAGAATAATTGTCCAATTGAATATCACTGTCTCGCATTGACTGCACTGTAGATATAAAATTAAAAAACCCACTATCACCAGACTCTTTTGCGTTAAAACTATTTTCTGATGAACTACTATCATTAATGTACAGACTATTTTTTTTATCAAAGTTTTTTTGTCTGCCAACTAGATGCTCGGTAGTAGCAACTAAATTAATATGATAATCATGGCCAGGTGTAATGTCATTTAAAATTGTTGAAAGACTATTTGCTGGAATGATGGGGCCATAAACTTGCTTATTGACAAGTATAATGTATCCCTATATGTATAAAAAAAACATCAACATAAGGCAAAATTATTATAAATAAATATATAAATATTTATAATAATATTATAAATAATTATTTTGATAAATAATATAAATTATATATATATATATATATATATATATATATATATATATATATATATATATATATATATATATATATATATATATATATATATACATATATATCATAAACAATTATTTTAAAGCAGTTTTATTTATTATGAAAAATTATGATTAAATCATTATTATTGTAACAAAGCATACAGAAAGCTTTGCTGAACCAAATTCTCTTGCTTTCTCCCAAGCAATTTCTATTCCTTCTATACTAATTGATTTGATTAATGGTTTAGGAGATTTAGGTGGACTAACAGGAGCACATTTGACCATATTCAAAGGAGCACTAGAGCATCCACAAACAACATTTCTTTGATTTGGATTAATTGAAAGAGGTTCAAAATAGGAATGCACACTTATCACGTACTCTTGACCAATTTTACAACCATCAATCTCAAATCCAATGTAATCTCTGTCATTGGCTAAGCAAGAAAAATTAAATAGAATAAAAACAATGGAAATTATGCAACACTGCAAGAGTTACAATAGTAAAAAGTTTAAACATGAAGACAACTTTGAAACTTTTACATAAAAATAATTTTTTTTTAAAAAACAAAGCAACTATTTGATGAATAATCTATTAAAATAGTTACCTGCCAAAAAAAACTAAAAACAAGAAAAAAATTGTAATGCGCTTAAAAGTGGTCCTCTCACTAGTGCTTCAGATTTCAAGCACAAAGGTAAGGGTTATGGAGAAATCATCTTTTAATATTATCATTAAAGTATAAACAAAAATAACTACAATACAAATAAAAATATATAAAAAATAAAAAAAAAACAAAAAAATGTAACATTGTTCATTTAAACGTCAATCTGGTTGAACAAATATATTAAAAAATATATAAATAATATTTAGTGATTTAAATTTTTTTGTTTAGTTGTTTATTGTTTAGACAAACACACTAATAGATTATTTTTTTGTGTGGTTGAATGAGCATTACAAGCTTTTTAAAAAACAATAGTTTTACTTAATCTTCATAGTAAAGTTTTTGTGTCTTTTTTAAACAAGAGTCTTTACTTGTTTTACAGTGTCTTTTTAAAACAAGAGTCTTTACTTGTCATACAATGTCTTTTTTAAATAAGAGTCTTTACTTGTCATACAATGTCTTTTTTAAACAAGAGTCTTTACTTGTCATACAGTGTCTTTTTTAAACAAGTGTCTTTACTTGTCATACAGTGTCTTTTTTAAACAAGAGTCTTTACTTGTCATACAGTATCTTTTTTAAACAAGAGTCTTTACTTGTTATACAGTGCTGACAACATATATAAATCCTAAATTAAAAAAAAATAACATCAATAACTAAAATTTAATATATTAAAAAATCAGTATTATTAGCCACAATAATAGACAATCAGTCTTACCATCTGGTGAGCATTTTCCAAATAGCTTTCCATCAACGACAATCAAGTAACAAGAGATCACTGGTTCATCTAAATATGTTTTTTTAAATTTAATTTTAGAATGATATTATTTGCAAACATAAACTTCAACAAAAGTAAATATATATTTAAAAGTAATACTCAAACAAAATCACTATATTATTGATAAAATTTTTTTATTTATGTCATATGTAAACAATGACGTGCAATATAAAACAAAAACAAAAAAAAACATAAAACAATATCTTCTTTAGAAAAATTAAAATCTTAAAATAAAATTTTAATAAAATCTTAAAATAAGAAACTTAAATAATATATTAACTTAAATAAAAAATATTGTCACACCTTTTTTCTCATTTTGCTGCGTGTCACTTTCCTTAGTATTACTAGTAAAACTTTTATTGTAAGTTGGAACTTGCCAAGTTAGCAACACAACTCCAATTTGATCAGTTTCTACTTGAAAAATCTCTTGAACAGACGGAGGTTCAAGTGGGCAACTTACTCTAACAGCACGCGATGGGCGACTATTACCTATGCTATGATTCGTCAAAGCTACAAGTGTAAACACAGTCTGGCTACCTATAAAAAAAGCTACAAGTGTAAACACAGTTCAGGATACCTATAAAAAAAGCAATCAACTTAACTTTAGTTACTTAAGTTAAACAAATTTTAATAAAAACAAATTAAATCAAATTAAACAAAACATGTTAATATAATAAGTTTTGATGTTGTAAAATAAATTAAGATAATCAACATAATTAAAATAATCAAGAGAATAAATTAAATCTATAAAAACTTTTTCTTTTTTAAAAAAATGCAATTGAAAAAAATTTTAGTAAGAAAATAAGTAAAGAAAAAAACAAGTAAGGAAAAAAATGTACCAGGAACCAAATTTTTAACTGATGCCTTTAGAGTTTCTGGAGGAAACACCTTTCCATAGACTTCACCATTCATATATAACTGATATCCAGATAAAAATGCTTCTCCGTAACTTGTCACTTCATCCCATGTTAGAACCACCTGCAATTGTTTTAAAATAACACTTAGTATTTAAATAAACTTTATCATTATTAAATATAACTTTCAAGCCATAAACTTTAATACAATGCAGCAACTAAATGAATATGTCTCATTTCATTTTACATACATACTGAATTTAGCATATTCAAGTCTTCTAGAGAATGCTAGAGTATATTTGTGAAATGCAAGAGATAGAAGTAAAGGAATTCAAAAATACTTTGTGTCACAAAAAATCAAATGAATTATATCAGACAAATAAAAACAAATGAATAATGTCAGACAAATAAAAACAAATGAATAATGTCAGACAAATAAAAACAAATGAATAATGTCAGACAAACAAAAGTTCAAGTAGATAAAACAAAAGAAATTTTTTTAAATAACTAAAAAATAAAACAATTAGTAAGATAAAGGATTAGATTAAATAAAGAATGTTTTAAAGATTAATTTTTATCTTTAATTTAGTTTTCACTTTTGTAACAGATACTTAAAAAAGATAAGCGGCTACTATGATTAACTAAAAATAAAATCAATATTTTAAAAAGATAAATAAATACTTAAAAAAGAAAAATAAATTAAAAAAAACTTATTTGAGTTTATCGCATAGTTTTTTATTATTATATTATATTATTTTAGTTTTATAATAATTCAAGTAAAGAAGAAAGAATTTTTTAAAAAATTTGAAAAGGATTTTAGTTGAAACTGTACTGCATAAAACATAAAAACAAGGTCAGCATAGAATCGTCAACCTTGTTTATATGTTTTATGGTAACAATTACTTAAAATAATTTAATTTGTTAAATGATTAGTTAATAATTAAATTAAATAGGAAATTAAATTTGTGCAATGAAGTTAGTCAAAATTAATTTTAAAAAATTAAAACCTCTTTATCTCCTAAATGTTTGACTTTAAGGTCAGGTCTTGATGGAGCACCTGGCATTGTCAACTGTATGTGTCCAAATGTTAATCGCTGACCACTTCTATCTCGTCTTCCCAAAACGCATATCCTAAAATAACAACTTCAATTGGTACACTAGATATTCATATACACTCATGTTAAGTAAATTATAAACTTTTTTCCAGAAAAAACTTGTTAAAGAATTTAAATAAATGACAACCACAAAACAGGTAATAAATTAAACACAAACCTGTATGTATATCTAGGTTTAAGTCCTTTTAAATCCATGAGTTTACTATAAGTATCCCAGCAGTGTTGAACACAGACTTCTTTCATTTTATCTCGATTCGTCATGGGCCATGCTTCAGGAAGAGGACTGTTCTCAAACTTATGGCTAAAATTAAGTTAATTTTTACTTTAAGATCCTTTTTTAAAATATCTAATTTTTAAAATATCTAAAACAAAGTAAAGAAAATTAAAAAATATAAAAACTTAATAAACAAAAGAATAAAAAAAAATTAAAATTAATTTAAACAACTTGCCTTTTATGACTGTTTACATTTTGAGAAAATTTTGTTCCTAAAACCAAAACACTGTACCAGATCTTGAACCCAGAATTCATAATACTGGGTTTCCAGTCCCATTGCAAACGTAAAACATTATTTTCTGTAGACTGAACACTTATATCTAGTCCTTGAGGTAATCGATTTGTTTTGTTAACAGTCTGAGCTAAAGTTAAAATTAATTTTATTTGCACTTTATTTGAATAAATGCTAAATGTTAATCGAATATTATTTGAATATATTATTTATATTTAATACATTCTAAATTTTTAAGCTACTTTTTATTTTTTTCATGTTCAGAATAAATTATGACATCACCAGGAACTTTAGATGTTAAATTGTAAAGTAATTTTTGATTTGCAAATTTTAACTTATGTAGCAAGCATTAGAATATATTAGCATATAATATAATATATTAGCTTATATAATTATTATATAATTAGCTTGTGATTCATTAATTAAACAAAAACTTGTTTAAATTTCGACTTAAAAAAAATGTATATTATTAATATATTTGTTAATATTAATGTATTAATTCTACTACAATTTATATAATAATAATAAAAAAACTTACCAGATACATTTTTTCCTGGAGTTAAATGTATTTCATCATCAAAAGATATATCAAAAGATGATTTCATTATCTCATCACTAAAATCAACATCATCCTTTTTCAGGTTTTGATTTTTCTTAACAGTGAAAAGAATGTTATCTTCTGTTTTTGAAAACTGATTTCCTTGGACAAAACTTGAAGAATTCAAAGGTACTGTTTTCATAAAATATTTACAAGAAGGTTTGTTAAGGTCTTTAATAAATTCTTGCTCAAAACCTTGCACAGAATCGTCTGTTTCTGATTGTGCATCTTCGACTTCCTTTAGAGATTGCTTTAAAGTTTTTTTTGTTAACAATTGAACAGCTTTATCTAAAATTTCTTCACAAGCTTCATCAATTGTGCATTCAACAAGATTTTTTGTTATATCCTTCATCACAATATCACTAACAATTTTGACAGCATAGTCAGATTTAGCATTTTCTATTTCTTTTTTTTGACTTTCAATCCACTTCTTTTTTCTTTCTTCTTCCAGCCGAAGGCGCTCTGCAACTTGATGTTTTTCTTCCACTTTTTGACGATAGTCATTTTCTTCTTCATTTTTAAAGTATTGGAATCGCTTTAGCTGAACCTCTTCTGCCTCTATTTCAAGTTTTAGTCTTTCATTCTTTAATGCTTCTTGTTTTAATAGTAGATCTTCTCTTTCTTGTTTAAGTCTTGCTTCTTCTATACGTACTTTTATTTCATGGTCTTTCCTTGCTTTCTCAAATTCTGGTGGTAATTCTTCATTATGGTTTATGTCTTCGAACTGTAATACTGCTGGTGATTGCATCATTAATACCGCTGGTGATTGCGTCATTAGAGTCCTTGATGGAGAGTTATTTGTAAAATTTAATAAGTTGTCATGACAACTTGCTAATAACTTAAAAGAATTATCAGGAGAATTATCTTCTTCAATACAAAAGTTTGATTGATTTTTAATATCTTCATTCTCAAAAGATTCATTTTTAATATCTTTAGTATCAAAAGATTCATTTTTGATATCTTCAGTGTTTAAAGATTCATTTTTAATATCTTCAGTGTCTAAAAATTCATTTTTAACATCCACTGTGTCAAAAGACTTATTTTTTATATCTTCAGTGTACAAATATTCATTTTTGACATCTTTGATGTCTAAAGAAATCTTTTTATCTTCAAACTGGAAAGTCTCAGAAGGTTCAGTTAACTTGGATTGGTCTTTTTCGAAGTTATTATCTTTTTTAAGATTGATTACAGATGAGACATCTGAATTGTTAAAAGCAATTTCCTCAATATCATTTTTAAAAGTTATATCATCAAAACGAGACAGGGAATCAGTATGAGGAATGTCATCAACATCATTTTTACGTGATATTTCATTTACAATATACTGGATAGGCAAGTAACAATCAACAGCACAAAAAGTATTTACAGAACTATTTACATTTTCAATAGAATTATTTTCAATTTTCGTCTCTAAATCAGGGTGACAATCAGAACACAAGTTGTTGATAGATAAGTCAACAGTATTTTTATTTACTTCTTTTTTGAAATCTTTGTCAACTGCCATGAATGAATCAGAGGCTAACAAGTTCTCATGTTCATTAATAACATCAGATTCTGCATCTTTAATAGCAGCACAACATAGAATATATACTACTTCAACTAGTTCTAACTCTTTTTCTGATTCTGCAATAATGGAAGATACCAAATTATTACTGATTTTAGTATAATCTTCTTCAGAAAAATGTTTATCTTGGGAGCATACATTGAAGTTAAGAGCTTTTTCAGTCTCAATGTGTGTTTCTTCAGCTACTTCACAATTATCACATGCTTTCTTAAATTCTTCTGCTTCAATGTGTTCTTTCTCAACTTCTGCTTTGATTTCAACGTTGTCTTTTTCAATACTTGCATTCTCAGTTATTTCTATTTGAATGCGTTCTTTCTCAGCTTTATTGTGTATTTTCTCAGCTTTATCTGCTTCAATATATGCATTTTCAGGTTTTTTTGCTTTGATATGTGGTTTCTCAGCAGCATCTGCTTCAGTTTGTGTTTTTTTATCTTCAATGCAAGCTTTCTCATCTTCTTCTGCTTTAATGTATTGTTTCTCAGCATCTTCTGTTTCTATGCAACTTTTCTCTTCTTCATTGAGTATTTTCATAGTTTTCTCTGCTTTACAGAATGTTTTTTTACCTCCTTCATTATGTGTGTCCTTAGTTTTTTCAACTTCAATGCGTCCTTCCTCAGCTTCTTCTGCTTTTATATATGGTTTCTCAACTTTTTCTGCATCAGTGTGCACTATCTCAGCTTCTGCTGCAATACAAAGACTTTCAGCTACTTCTGCTGCAACACACATTTTTTCAGCTTCTTCTGCAATGCGTACATTTGCTGCCTCTTCTGCTAAAATGCTTGATTTTTCAGCCTCTTCTGCAATCCTTACATTCTCAGCTTCTACTGCTGCAATACAAAGATTTTCTGTTTCTTCTGCTGCAAAGCGTAGTATCTCAGCTTCCTCTGTTGCAATGTGTGCTTTTTCAGCTTCTTTTTCTGCAATGCGTACTTTCTCAGCTTCTTTTTCTGCAATGTGTGATTTCTCAGCTTCTTCTGCTGCACTGCTCATTTTTTCAGTTTCTTCTGAAATGTGTAATTTCTCAGCTTCTTCTGCGGCAATGCGTAGTTTTTCAGCTTCTTCTTCTGCAATGCGTACTTTTTCAGCTTCTTCTGCTGCAAAGCGTAGTATCTCAGCTTCTTCTGCTGCAATGTATGCTTTTTCAGCATCTTCTTCTGCAATGTGTACTTTCTCAGCTTCTTCTTCTGCAATGAGGGATTTCTCAGTTTCTTCTGCTGCAATGCGCATTTTTTCAATTTTTTCTGAAATGTGTAATTTCTCAGCTTCTTCTGTTGCAATACGTGATTTCTCAGCTTCTTCTTCTGCAATGCGTACTTTTTCAGCTTCTTCTGCTGCAATACGTAGTATCTCAGTTTCTTCTGCTGCAATGTGTGCTTTTTCAGCATCTTCTTCTACAATGTGTACTTTCTCAGCTTCTTCTTCTGCAATGAGGGATTTCTCAGCTTCTTCTGCTGCAATGCGCATTTTTTCAGTTTCTTCTGAAATGTGTAATTTCTCAGCTTCTTCTGTTGCAATATGTGATTTCTCAGCTTCTTCTTCTGCAATGCGTACTTTCTCAGCTTCTTCTTCCTTAATGCGCAATTTCTCAGCTTCTTCTGTTGCAATGCGTAGTATCTCAGCTTTTTCTGTTGCAATTTGTGATTTTTCAACTTCTTTTTCTGCAATGCGTGCTTTCTCAGCTTCTTCTGCAATTCGTACTTTCTCTGCCTCTTCTGCTGCAATGCAAAAATTTTCAGCTTCTTTTGCAATATGTATTTTTTCATCTTCTTTTGCTGCAATGCGTTGTTTCTCAGCTTCTTCTGCTGCAATACGTAGTTTCTCAGCTTCTGCTGCAAGAAAAAGAAATTCAGTTTCTTCTGCTGTAATGCATGATTTCTCAACTTCTGCTGTAATGTATACCTGTTCAGCCTCTTCTGAAAAGCATACTTTCTCTGCCTCTTCTGCTGCAATGCATGAGTTTTCAGCCACTTCTGAAATGTGTACATTTTCAGCTTCTTTTGCTGCAATACGAAGATTTTCTGCTTCTTCTGCTCCAATGCTTTGTTTCTCATCTTCTGCATCGAAGGTAAGTTTTTCAGCATCTTCTGCTGCAATATGTACTTTTCCAGCTTCTTCTGTTGCAATACAAAATTTTTTAGCTTCTTCTTCTGCACTATGTAGATTCTCAGCTTCTTTTGCTGCAATGTTCATATTCTCATCAATTTCAATTGAAGGGGATAGTTTTTCCACTCCATCGCATATTTTATTAGATTCATCAATTGCAAGACATGTTATTATAGCTTCTTCTGCTGCTATGCGTGCCTTTTCTACTTCTTTTGCTGCAATACATTCAATTTCAGCTTTATCAGCTGCAATACATAGTTTTTCAGCCTCTGCTTTAAAGCATGGTTTATCTGTTACTTTTACTGTAATGTTTATATTTTCAGATACTTTTGCTGCGATGCATGCTTGTTCAATTACTTCTGTTACAATACATTTTATTTCAGCTTCTTCTACTGTAACATAAGATTTTTCAGTTTCTTCTGCTACAATTTGTGATTTTTCAGCCTCTGCTGCAATGCGTACTTTTTTAGCTTCCTCATCTGCAAAAGGTAATTTATCAGCTTCTTCTTCTGCAATGCGTACTTTTTCAGCTTCTTCTGTTGCAATGCCTAGTTTTTCATCTTCTTTAGTTGCAATGCGAAGATTCTCAGCTTCTTCTTCTGCAATGCATACTTTTTCAGTTTTTTCTGCAATGAGTACTTTCTCAGCTTCTTCTTCTGCAAGACGTAATTTCTCAGCTTCTTCTGCTGCAATGCGTAGTTTTTCAGCTTCTTCTTCTGCAATGCGTACTTTTTCAACTTCTGTTGCAATACGAAGATTTTCAGTTTCTTCTTCTGCAATGCATACTTTCTCAGCTTCTTCTGCAAGACGTAATTTCTCAGCTTCTTCTGCTGCAATGCGTAGTTTTTCAGCTTCTTCTGCAAGACGTAATTTCTCAGCTTCTTCTTCTGCAATGTGTACTTTCTCAACTTCTTCTGCTGCAATGCGTAGTTTTTCAGCTTCTTCTGCTGCAATGCGTACTTTCTCAGCTTCTTCTTCTGTAAGACGTAATTTCTCAGCTTCTTCTTCTGCAATGCGTACTTTCTCAGCTTCTTTTTTTGCAAGACGTAATTTCTCAGCTTCTTCTGCTGCAATGCGTAGTTTTTCAGCTTCTTCTGCTGCAATGTGTACTTTCTCAGCTTCTTCTTCTGCAAGACGTAATTTCTCAGCTTCTTCTGCTGCAATGCGTAGTTTTTCAGCTTCTTCTGTTGCAATGCGTAGTTTTTCAGCTTCTTCTGTTGCAATACGAAGATTTTCAGCTTCTTCTGCTGCAATGCGTACTTTCTCAGCTTCTTCTTCTGCAAGACGTAATTTCTCAGCTTCTTCTGCTGCAATGCGTACTTTCTCAGCTTCTTCTTCTGCAATGCGTACTTTCTCAGCTTCTTCTTCTGCAAGACGTAATTTCTCAGCTTCTTCTTCTGCAATGCGTACTTTCTCAGCTTCTTCTTCTGCAATGCGTACTTTCTCAGCTTCTTCTTCTGCAAGACGTAATTTCTCAGCTTCTGCTGCAATGCGTAGTTTTTCAGCTTCTTCTGCTGCAATGCGTACTTTTTCAACTTCTGTTGCAATACGAAGATTTTCAGTTTCTTCTTCTGCAATGCATACTTTCTCAGCTTCTTCTGCAAGACGTAATTTCTCAGCTTCTTCTGCTGCAATGCGTACTTTCTCAGCTTCTTCTTCTGCAAGACGTAATTTCTCAGCTTTTTCTGCTGCAATGCGTACTTTTTTAGCTTCCTCTTCTGCAAGACGTAATTTCTCAGCTTCTTCTGCTGCAATGCGTAGTTTTTCAGCTTCTTCTGTTGCAATACGAAGATTTTCAGCTTTTTCTTCTGCAATGCGTACTTTCTCAGCTTCTTCTTCTGCAAGACGTAATTTCTCAGCTTCTTCTGCTGCAATGCGTACTTTTTTAGCTTCCTCTTCTGCAAGACGTAATTTCTCAGCCTCTTCTTCTGCAATGCGTAGCTTTTCAGCTTCTTCTGCTGCAATGCGTACTTTCTCAGCTTCAACTTTTTCAACAGCAATTCGTGATACTTCAGTCAACTCAAATATTTTTTTTTCCATGGCTTTTTCTATTTCTTCACTCTTTACTTGAAACAAAGTTTGTTGTGTTAGCATTAACGCCAACCTTTCAAGTTCTATTTCTTCTTCCAAACCTTTTTTCCACAATTCTCTTTCCATCTGATTTTGTTTTTCTCTTTTAAACTGTTCCTCAAAAAGAGTTCTTTTAAGAGTCATTTCAGCTTCTTTAAATTTTTCTAACTGCTCTGCTTCATTCTTCAGTTTTTGTTCTTCAAATCGAAGGCGATCTAGAATGATCTGCTTTTCCTCAGCTTTGATACGCTCTTCTAACTTTTTTTCTCTTGTGTTTAAATCAATCTCCATTTCTTTTAGCTGAAGGATTTTTAATTTAAGATCTTCCTTTTCTTTTATTCTTTTTTCTTCTTCAGCTAATGCTGTTCTTTGCAGTTCAGCCTCTTGAAGCCGTATGAACAGTTCAGACTCACTTTTATATAATTCTTCTTGTTTTTTATGCAGTTTATCTTCTTGAGTACGCAATTCGGACTGTTTAATATGAAGTTCAATTTCATTTTGTCTCTGAACAGCTTTTAATTTTTCCTTTTTCAATTCAATTTCCCGTAGAGCGATTTCCTGTTGTTTGTCAATTATTTCTTTTTGTTTCTCATAAATATCATTCAAAGCTTTTTGTCTTTGAATGTTAGCCATTTTTTCATTTTCTTCCATTAACTGTTTGGCTTCTTGTTGTTTTAACTCAAACTCTTGACTTTTAATATGTGCATCAAGCTGAGCTAATTCTTTTTCTCGACGCTGTATCTCTAACTTTAATTGGTTTTGTTCTCTGTTTTGCAACTCTTTTTCTCTTTCATAAAGCATGAGTTCTCTACGTTTGAAATCTGCTTGCTTTTTCTCTTTCTTCATTTTTTTGAGTTCATATTCTTTTTCATTTAAAACCTTTTCTTTTTCTGTTATGAGGCGAAGTTGATCCTTCATTGAGTCAACAATCTTATTGTGTTCAGTAGAAACCAATTCTTTTATTGAGCTCAACAATGGTTCAAATTCATCCTGATCATACACTTCAATTCTACTAATCTTTTTGCTCCAAAGAGGTGCTTCACACTCAGATTCTGCAGGAGTGGCAGGGGGGCTATCTAAATCATTGTAGTCATCTTTTATTTTAGCATTATTTACGTTTATCTCCTCTATTAGATTTTTCTCTTTTTGTGTCACATTTAATGTTGCAGAAGCATCTACTTCATCAAGATTTTCGTGAAATTCTCCTCGGTCTTCTTTTTCTTCTTGATCGGCCGAACCACTGAAATTATCTGAAAGCATTAGATTTTTCTTGAATATATCTAATGAGCTTTCAATCAAATCCAATATAATTTGCTTTGATGTATCAGAGAGTTGCAGCAAGTATGTTTTATAGTTAAAATAATCATCATTTAAAAACTCATCTGGAGTTCCCTCCTGAGACCTGACAATTTCTTTTTCCTCATTACCATAAACCAATGCAGTATTATTATTATTGAAATCTTTAAAAGATTTATCAGTCAAAACAATTACATCATCTTTTTCACTAACATCAACTTCATTTGCATTAAAATTATCAACACAATCAACAGAATTCGAAGCTTCACATTCATTGAATTGATTGTCTGTTTCACCTTTAGATGTTCCATCACCAGAGTCATTAATTTCACTCTCTGGATTTTTTAAAATGCTTGCTACTGCAACTGTTTTGTCGCTACTCATTTGATCTGCAAGATCCAATATATTTTCATCAACATTTTCAGGTATGTTATCTAATAAACTTTTCTTAGATACATGCAATAGTTTATCTTGAAGAACTCTGGGTAATAAAACTTTACTTTCCTTTACTTGAAGGATATCATCAACATTTGACAAGTCAATAGACTCACTTGCCAATAAATGACATGAAACGGAGAGATTAGTTAGTTGATCTTTGTCAATATTTTCTAAATTTCAAGAATATTTTTTTAAACATTTTGTAAACATCTAAACTTGTTGGATTTGTATTTTAAAATGTATTTATTTTTTATATAATTTTATATAATTTATAAATATTATTTTATATTTACTTTTATGTATATTTTTATATCCTTTTATATTTATTTATAGATTTCTACTTTAACCAATACCTTGAACATCTGAATTACTGTCTGTGATAAATAAGTTATTATTGCCTTGATTATTATTGCCTTGATAATCTTGATCTTGATTAAGTGAATATGATTGAAAACACAATGAAAAAGGGAGTGAAAAAAATATCTCATTTGAAGATAATTCAACAAGATCTTCTAAAATTAATTAATAAAATTAGATAACAAAAATATGGAGAAAAGAATTATATTCATTTATAAATTATTGTTGTTAATTTTATTTTTTTAATCATTTAGCTCACCATTTAGGCTTGCTAAAACAGAAACTTTAATAAGTGTATTTTCAGGAATATCTTTTAAACAGCATATACAATACTCTTCTACACTGTTTACTGGTAAAATCTAAATTAAATTGAGAAAAAAAAGAAGATCAAATAGCACATAATAAGAAAAAAACTTTTTTACAAAAGGGAAATTAAATCTAATAATACTGACATTTGTTTTCACAACTTCATTGTTAACTTTCAAAGTATAATTTTGAACAGTTTTATCGGGATGATAATTGGCCATCCACATAACTTTAACTTGTCCTCGATTATCCATTGATGATAAAGAGATGACAGGCCCTCCCTCTCTGCTAACACTTGGACAAGTAATGAACTTAAAAAAAAAGAAAATTAATTTTATTTTCAACATTACAAAAATCATATTTAAGTTTAAATTCAAATTTCTCTTCAAAATTTAGAAAACTCCAGCAAAATGGGAGAGAATTCGTAGGTCTGCATACAGATACTTAATAAAACTCTTATACAAACTCTTAATAAAACAATAAATAGATTTAAAAAAATAAAAATATTACTCTTAAATCTGGTAATAATTCCTTAATAAAATTTCTAAACCATCATGCTAATTTTTATATTTTTTAATAAAAATGACTAGACAAGACGATGTTTTGAAATTTAAAAAAAAAACATGTATATATACACACAGAATATGCCTCTCTTTCACACACACACACACACACACACACACACACACACACACACACACACACACACACACACACACACACACACACACACACACACACACATATATGTGTGTGTGTATGTTAGAAATTTTATTAAGCTTGCCTTCTTCATTTTAATTTGATTCTCAGAGTCTTCATAATATATACCACAATCTACAGACTTACTCAGGGCAGTTAAGAAAAGATCCGAACATTTCAACAATTTGCATTTCTTAAAACCGGTTTACGATTTATTATTTTTTTATAATTTATTATTTTTTTATCATTTATTATTATTTTATAATTTATTATTTTTTTATAATTCATTATTTTTTTATAATTTATTATTTTTTTATAATTTATTTTTTTTTTAGCCCAAGTATCAAACAAAACAAAACTACAACTAAAATACATAAAATGCATCAGGGCAGCATCATAAAAACAGTTAAAACAAATGTGTCAAGTATTTACATTCCAAAAATGTTTAAAGCATTAAAATATTCAGTAAACGGCTAAAAATCTCTTATTTTATCTTTTCGTAAACAGTAAAAACATTAAAATCAAAGTTTTCACATAGCAATTTACTTCAACAATCTCTTTATAGTCGTTTGAATAAATTACCAAAAAGAAACCTTTTAGGTTTTATATAACTTCTGCCCCATAGTATTAAGCTAAAACTTCAAACTTAAAAATAATAAAATCATCAAATATTTGTAAACAAAATACAATAAGTTTCGAGAAAATGAACCAATCAGAATGCACACAAAATAAAATGGCATTTAATGAAAACGAAAGACCCTAAACTCAATATTTTTCTTTGGATTTCTCCCTAACTTTGTTGAGTAATAATTTATTTCATGATATACATTTACTATTTAGTTTTAATCAAAAAAATTTAGCTCAAACATTCTTTTTAAACATTTTCTTAAATACGAGCACAACTTGTCTCAGCATTTGGGGATACCAATTTTATACTTACTGAACTAATAAATATACCTATTCTAGTATAAAAAGGACAAATTACTGATAACACAAGATTGCCATAACATAATGCCATTATTTATATTGAAGGTTAGTTGGTTATTGACACTTGACATGGATTTAAGTGTTAATAAAAGAGCATTCAAGTGTCAATAAAAGTTGATTACTGACATTTGAAATAGATTTAGAATAGAAAAATCCATATGAAGTGGCTATAATAACCAAATAGAATTTATTATATGGATTTTTTTTTTATTCTAATTCACTCTCAGCAAGGCTGCAAGCAACCACTATTAAGTTGGGAGTTACTAGAAAACAAAGAATAGAGTTAAAGAGAACAGAAATAGTTGACAGAAGACTTAAGAAGTTCCATGAGTCAGAAAAACATGATGATGGAAGAGAGTTCCAAAGAGAAAAAAACTAGTTGAATAAAAGTTTTTAGAGCATGCAGAGACAAATACAGTGAAAGAATGTGACTTAGCTGAATGATGAGTCAAGCAAGAATAAGTTTTGGTTGATGGAACTAGAGATAATAGCTCCTTTAAGCAGTGACCATAATAGTGTTTGTAGAAAAAAAGATGAAAATTTTACAATGATGGCAGAGATACTTAAGCTTAGCAGATAAAGCAGTTCCAAGCACGTTTACAATGTGCTTTTTCAATACATTTTCAATAAACCTTGTCTAAAAAAGAAAGAGCATCATTAGAAGAACTAGCCCAAATATGACAAAAGTATTCCATATAGGGACAAATAAGAAATTTGTTGAGGTTGAAAATTGAATCAGGAGTAACATAATGGCAAACATGATAAAGAGATACAACGCTAGCAGATGCAAATTTAGCAATCATTTGTATATATGGTTTCCATGAGAGGTCAGTAGTGAACAATAATCCAAAAAGAAGTAATGCAGAGGACTCAGTAAGAGGATTGCCATTTATTAATATAGAATATTGGCAGTTTTGCGATAGCTGTTTGCAATGAATAACTGAGTGAGATCAGATTTGTGATTAAAAAGAGAAGACTTTTTGTGAAGACAGGAGTATAAAGTTAAGTTGTCAACAAAAAGAAGCACTTTAGATGTAAAGTTGTATGGAAGACCAATAATGTAGATAAGAAACAAAACAGAACCAAAGATAGAACCTTGAGGTACCCCCGAAGTTACTGGAAATGAAGAAGAGTGTTGGCCTTTGAGGATGACTTTAATAAAGCAGATAGAAAGAAAACAAGACCACAGATAGAACTTCGAGGTACCCTGAAGTTACTGGAAATGAAGAAGAATGTTGGTCTTTGAGGATGACTTTAATAAAGCAGATAGAAAGAAATGACTCAATAATAAAAATTTTTTATAGATACACCAAATAAAGAAAGCTTATGGAGAAAACCAACATGCCAAATTTTATTGAAAGCTTTAGAAATGTTAAGAGCAATACAACTTGCCTTGCTGCCTCCATCTAATGCATGATAAAATCTTTTAGTCACACCAATTAGCAAGTCAGATCAATTAGCAACTCAAGATGGGATGTTAGAAACCTGTTAATCAAAGACTCGAAGACTTTGCTAATAATAGAGAGAAGACTGATCAGGCAATAGTAGGAAGGTTCAAAATATTCTCTAAAGTTTTGAAAAATTGAAACCACAAATGCCATTTTCCAGCAGGCAGGAAAATAAGAGTCGAATGAAGATATGACTTTAGCAATAAAAACTGGAGTGATATGGATGTCTAACAATGGGTTAACGTGTTTAACTGTTTAAATATGGCAGTTTTGGCGCAGTGGTAAAAGTTCTGGTTCAGAACCAAGAAGTTTGAACTATAAATACATAATTACATAATTATGTATTTATATATAAATACATAATTACATAATTATGTATTATGTTACAAATACATAAATACTTTATGTAAAAGAACTAAAATTTTTCATTCTTCATTTTTATGTATTTTTGTTTTCGGCTTTTATATATATATCTACTGGTATATTTTCTTATAGACTTAGCTGAATTCTGCACATAACCTTGGTCTAATTTCACAACATGTGGTTTTATTGTCACAGGACTTGCTACCTACAATTTTGTTAATAATTGGCCTTAACGTAAAACAAAAACTTAAATCTTTGGTCTTGAAAATGTTTGCGTAGACCTTGGCCATGAAACTCTTATTCTTGGCCTTCACCTTGTAACTTTTAGCCTTGGTCTTGGCCTTGTAACACATAGCCTTTGCCTTGCTACTTTTGGCCTTGTTAACAACTCTGGGTTCAAGCCATAAAAAGTCTGCCCATGAATATATCAACTCTTTTATATAGATAATTATATGTAATGTAAAAATATTTTTATTTAAACATATTAACTACTCACCAGTATATTTGATATCAATGGTTCAATATCTTGATTAGTAAAAAATGTCATTACGCTGATTTCGTATGATCTTCCTCCTCGCAAACCACTAACTGAAAGAGCTTGAATGCAGCTTTCTAAAATACTTCCACGTGGCATTCCATCCACATACAACTAAAAAATATTGATTTTTAACTGTTAGTAGTATGCATATATACATATATACACTGGGTAGTATGTATTATACACACATCTTATGGATTAGGGTTAGCATGATGATGCCATACTAAATGTAGAAATAGACAAAAGTTTCAGTACATAAATTGACTAAAAGTTTAACTAGGCAGTATCTATGCATAAAGGAAATCTACTATGGCAAAAATAAGTAAAAAAATTATTAATTGTAGTGCTTTTTTTATTAACAGAAAAAAAAAAGCATAAATAATAAACAAAAACAATTCTTAATTCTTAAAAATACAGTAAATATACATAAGTAAATTTCGCTCTCTTCAAACCTCTATTTTTATTTCGAATATGGTGAATTAAATTATAAAATTAAAAAAACTAATTAAAACTAAATTACTTACAAAATATCCTTTGACGAGTGCGAGATCATTTTTATCATTTTTTATAAGTATAATGTTAACTGTGTTTGAGTTAAGAAATGATGCTGTTATGCGTGGAATACACATCTCTAACTTAACTAAATCTTCCTAAATTAAATAAATTAAAGAATAATTAAAATAAAAAATTTTAAAATTAAACAATTATATTTACAAATACTAATTGTATTTCTAAACTTTCTAATAAACTTTTTTATTAAGTAAATATCAACAGGTTTAACTTAAAACTATTCTTAAATTACAAGATTAGCCCTAAACCCAAGTATTTATTATTAAATAAAATATAGACCAAATATTTATTGTATAAATTTCATGGTTGTAAAAGAATAAGAGAACAACAACAACAAGATGTTTATTTTCAAAATTAACATACAATTAATAACAATTAAAATAATAATAATAAGAATATCTATAATATCATAAATAACAAAGTCATAATATCATTATTAAGAATAAATATAAATAATTCAATAATTGATTGACAAGGAAGGAGTCAATCATCCAGAAACATGATCAAAGGAGTGACACTAAATAATTATACTAACAATATTAATTTAAAAAACAATGATAATAACAATAATAACTTTATTCAATAATAGATCAAAAGTAACAACAAAAATAATAGTATTTATAAAAATAGCAGTAATAAAAATAATTAATAATAATGACAAAAAAGTTTTTATATAAATAGTAGAAAGAAAAAGAAAAAAAAAAAAGAAAACTATAAGAAGTTAATAATGATGCAAATTAAAATAAATTCTTTTTAAGAATTTGTTTAAATTTATTTTGTTTTAAATAAAGAAATGAAAGTAAATTATTTTGAAGTTTTAACTTTTCAAACTCATTAACAATGCACACAAGACTTTGATTCCATTCACTGATACACTGATGTGTTATTGAATATTTACCACACCTCAAAGTTTTATAGGGAGGTACATTTAGTTTTCCATTATTGATGTTTCTAGTTAAATGTGAATGTATAAATTGAGTCTCAGTAAAGAAGGTTGTAATAGAGGAAAGTAAATTTTTATTAAGGGATTCAAAAACAAAAAGAAGATAGGCAAATCTAACTAGTGTTGACTGAAAGTGTTGAAGGTAAAAATTTCAAGTTTTTTTGAAGAAGTTTGTAGTTTCTGTGTTATAGAGTAGAAATTTTATTATTTGGATTAATTGAGGCTGAGCTGATAACAATTTATTAATATTACAATTGCTAATTTGTCCCCAAACCTAACAACAGTAGTTGAGAAAAATTGCAAAATACAGATTCATAAGGGTAGTTTTATTAACATAATGGCAATTTATTGAAAGCATGCCACTAGCTTGATTAAGTTTTTTACGGAGTGCATCTATATGAGAATTCCATGAGTGATTTGAATCAATAAAAATACCAAGATATTTAACAACGTGTGTTGAATATAAACATCTACTATTATTTTAGTTTTATTTAAATGATTGTTCTATAAAAGTTTTTGTCTTGGAGATGAAAAAAATATTAGTTCAGTTTTTTGTTCAAGTTCAGAGAAATTAAGTTTGCATTTAGGCAATAAACTAAACCTTTTAGATCTAAGTTTATATTCTTACACAAGGAATGATAAGACTTATCAATATGCAAGATACTAGTATCATCAGCAAACAAATAAACTAATGAGAAAAGCACAGAGTTATTTAAATCATTAACATAAATTAAAAACAATAGAGGGCCAAGAACAGAACCTTGAGGAAAGCCACAAATTATGTGCTTGTTATTTGATCTGTAACTATTAATCCTAACAAACTGCTTACGATTTGAGAGATAAGATTGAAACCATTTACAAGCAACTCTTTGGATTCCATAATGTTCAAGTTTAGAAATTGAAATGGTATCATTAACAGTATTGAAAGCTTTTTGTAAGTCGATAAAAACACCACCAACGAAATGACCGAACCAACAAAATCCAGTGCCTTTTTTATTTTTTCGGTTATACTTATTAAAGCATGGCAAGTAGAGTGTTTTGATCAAAATCCAAACTGAAATTCATTTAAACAATTAAAGGAACTCAAAAATAAGTATAATCTAGAATACATTAGGTTTTCAAAGAGCTTGCTAATTTTAAATAGAATTGAAATCGGTCTATAGTTAGTAAATGAGAGTTTTGAGCCATTTTTATATACTTGAATAACACAAGATAATTTCGAAATGTCAGGAAAAATTCCATTTAGGAAGGAGATATTAAATAGCTTAGAAAGAAAATGAGAAAATTCAGAACTAAAATCAATAAGAATGCTTGTGGGGATGCCATTAGGACCTAATTATTTTCTAGGTTTCAATTTAGATATGTGATGAGAAAAGTGATTAGATTTCAGAATGATTTGTTGGAGATATCAGTAAACTATGAAGATTTGGATGCTTAAGATATTTTATAGCAAATATATGATGAATTTTGTGAATTTTAAAATGAGTTTATGAGCTACATTTGTGAAAAAGTTGTTGAATTCTTCGCAGATTCAAGTTGGTTCAGTTATGTATGTTTTGTTAATTGTAAGTAATTTGGAGGTACATTATTGACATTTATTAGACTTTTTATGCCTTTCCAGGTTCTGAAAAGAATTTTTTGAAATGTATTTTTTTACTCAGTTTTATTAGATTAATTATGGTATATTTATAGCATTTGAAGATAAATAAGATTTCGAATTTAAATTGATTTTACTATTCCTTTAGCAACCCATGGCTTGAACTGATGCTTGTAGTTCTTAATACTAATTTTTTTTAAGTGGCACATGACAATTTAACAACTAAATATGTAATTGTCACTAAATTTGTAGACGAAAAAAAAAAAGTAGTAAACCATTAATTAGCTATCATTAAAATCTTCTTTTTAATCAATTGCTACAGATTGAAATTACCATTTACCCATTATTATTGTTGACACCATTTTATCATAGTCTATCTTATGATTGTACCTTATACAAAGTAACATATATATCTTGTGCAAAGTAGCAAATATATCTTGTGCAAAGTAGCATATATATCATATGCAAAATGTAGCATCTTATATTGTCAAAGTAGTATTTTATACTGTGGACTTGAAGGCAAGATTGACAACTAAAAAATACTCCAAAAATAAATTTATTTAATTTTGTATTTTTTATAATTTATACTTAAATGATTAAAATAAAAATAAGAATAAAAAAATAATACAAATAATCTCATAAAACTATAAAAAATAAACATAACAATTATAAAATATTCATAACTTACATGTTTTTTAATCCCAGTATCATCATTGGGTACTATTTGTAATAATTTAAAAGCATCCACTTCTGTTACAGCTTGAACATTGTTAATTTTTATACCATCTTCTTTAGCATCCATTACTAAAGTGTGAACTTCATTATCACTAACTATATAGATTTCTTTTCCAACATCTGAAATTGCACTTGACTCATTAAAAATAGATTTCGGCTCATCAAACGCCACCAATGTATGATCACTGTTAACTGATGCATCATCTTTGAAATGTTCACTTGTTAAAAGCTCTTCACTTGTTGTTGAAGGTGGACCAGCTTTTATAAAATTTATTTGAGGTGTTTCCTTAAAGTCCTGAGTTATAGTGCTTCCTTCACTAAAAGAATTCTGAGATGGATCAACATCATCATTAAAATTTGACAATTTAGAATGTAAAAAGTTATCTTGCGTTATAACGTACTTCTCATAATCAGCATTAAAAGGTTCATTTATTTGTTTCTCTTTATTTCTATCCACTAGTACTATATTACTAGTAGATTCAGAAGAACCTGTGGTTGCATTTTGAATTTCATTTGTGTTGTATCCTGTGCCATCCTTTTCATCACCTTTAAGTATATGCAAGGGATCATTGTGAGACTCAATGGATCTATCTTCAATTTTGGAAAAGCTTGATGAGGCATCTTCATTAAACCTGTTTAAATTTTGTTCATCAGTAATAACCTTTAAGTCTCCATTAGATTCTTCAAAAACATCTTTTATTGTTGCTCCCTTGACTGCAGCTTCTTCATGTTCAAGATATTCAGATAAAAGTTGTTTCGATTTACTATTTCCTAAATTTGTTTCATTTTCTGAAGTGGCTACTGAAGTAAGAGGAATATTATTGCCAACAACAACCAACCTCCTGAAACATAAATTATTTTCCTTTATACCAACAAAAACAATGATATAATCTCCATTTTATGAATAAAATGAACAAAAAATTTAGAATATTAATTAGCTAAAAAACAATTAGATAAATGATCTTAATACTAAAAAGATTTTCAATAATGTTCAAAACAAGATATTTCAGAAATTAAGGATAACATTCAGAAAAACCTGCTATAAATAAGAAATTAGAGAGTAGTTAGTTAAAAACTGACCTTGATGTAAACACTTCGCTTGGTTTTTTATTTGTTACTAATGCTACAGCTCGAACAAAGACAATTCCACTGTCAACCAGTGTTATGCCCTCTATAGAATCAAACTCCTAAATAATAACATTTTTGGTTTAGCACATTCTTTTAATCTGTTATAAAACTTGTTACAGGTTAATAACAAATTATATTTTTTATAACAAATATAAATTAATTTCATTTAAAAATTGTAACAAAAATTCAAGCTCAGTTATATCAGTTTTTACTTGCACAAAAATTTTAATTGAAATTTTAAATTTACATTATAAAGTTTGTTTATAACTGGTTGTTAAAAAAAAATTGTTAGTTTGAAAATAATGGTAGTAGTAATAGAATATATAAAAAAATTAATATACAATTATATATTAAATATGTAAATTATATATTATTAGTTATATTTTATATATAAATTGTAAATTTATAAAAAATAAAATAAACGTATTAATTAAAATAGAAAAAAGAAAAAGAAAAAGAAAAGTAAAAAAAATTTCAGTTTAAAAATATAAAAACAAAACTAATTACTTTTTTGAATAAATTATTTAAAAAAAGATTTATTATTTTATTAAGAATATTTGTTTACCCTTGTGGCTGTGGAACCAGGATGTGGGAAAGATCCATCCATTGTGTAATACAACTTTGCTTCATTATTTGGATGGGTCAAAAATATTTTTTGACCTACTGTTAGCTGTAATAGCATTTAAAATAATTAAAATATTAGGAAAATTAAAGTGTATTAACAAATTTAAGAAAACATTTTAGAAAAAAAAACCTTTTCACATTCAGACACGCTCATTATTAATGATGGTGGATCAACTATTTCTCCTAATAAAAAAATGTTATAATTGAGATACAATAAACATATATTATGTAATAAATATATATAAATAAAAAAAAAAAAGGTTTGCAGTGTTTCATGCACAAGCAATGTGTGTTTATATATATATATATATTATATATATATATATATATATATATATATATATATATATATATATATATATATATATATATATATATATATATATATATATATATATATATATATATATATATATATATATATATATATATATATATATATATATATATATATATATATATATATATTATACTTGGTAGTGGTGTAGTGGTAGAGTCCTTGCTTCATAAGCAAGAGGTTTTGAGTTCGATCCCCACCACGCCCCTGGTAGTACCATGCTTAACTTGTTTTTCTGGGCAGCAGTTTTTATGACTATGTAAAGCTTGTGACCTCATCAATTTGAAGCGGTCGCAAAACCAGGGGGCAGGGGTATTTCTAAAAAAATTTGGAATATTCTTTTTGTTTAAAAATTAGTTAGTTCAAACATTTAAAAACCTACGCCAATGTATGTATGTATGTATGTATGTATGTATGTATGTATGTATGTATGTATGTATGTATGTATGTATGTATGTATTTATGTATGTATGTATATATATATATATATATATATATATATATATATATATATATATATATATATATATATATATATATATATATATATAACATTTACCTTCACCGTGCACATAGACAATACATTCATAAATAGTGTTAACAGACTCAACTACCACCAAATATGTGTCAATCTCATTAAAAAGAAAAGCTCTCCCACATTTTTGTATAAAATGGTTATCAATTTCCACTTTCTATGCAAAATAAAATAAAAAATAACAATCATTAAGCTACAAATGTAAAAATAAATAGCAATAAATTTTGAAAATTAATAAAATCAGTTATAATAAAAATAACACATTGATAAGTAAAAATATAATTTAAAACTAATGAAAGTGTTATGTAAATAAAAATTGAAACAAAATAATTTTATTTTCCGAACTGTGATGAGCTAAACTATATTATTGTAAAATTTTGCTTATTTATTATAGCAAGAAACTGTTGTAAAAAACTGCTAAGCTCCATTATTCTCAGTTCACTAAATCTTCACTTAAAAGTCATGCTCTAGAGATATTTGGAAAATCTTTAATAGCGTCATTAATAAGGATAGGTCTAACATTCCATCCCATTAACAAAGGTTGTTTGGGTCATTAACAAGGGTTTAACAACCCAACAGAACTTTTCTTCAAACTCCACTCTTGAATCTTATGGCCATTATCTTCCTTCTATTCCAATTAAACAGGTTAACCCATTGTAAGAAATTCTAATCTCTTCAGCTTCTGTTGCTAAAGTCATACTTCAATTAAACTCTTCTATGGCTTGTGGTGACAACATTTCTGTCATAGTCTTAATAAATTTGTCCAGAACTCTCTTCAATTCACAATAAACTAATTAATAAATATATAATAAAATAATTAATAGTCTTGTTTTCTTGCCCGCTGGAAAATGTGGAAAATGGCATCTGTTGTTTTTTCAAATTTTCAAAAACTCTGATGAACATTTTGACCCCTCCTATTATCGTACAATCAGTCTTCTTTCTGTTATTAGCAAGGTCTTTGAACCTTTGATATACAAATTTCTCACATTTCGTCTTAAGTCAAATAACTTACTGTCAGACAATCAATACAGTTTTCTATCCTCTTGCTCTACAGCTGACTTGCTAACTGCTATGACTGAAAAATTTTATTTTGCATAAGACAGAGGCAAAGAGGCTAGGGTGACATATCTAAAGCTTTTAACAAAGTTTGTCATGCTGGTCTTCTCCATAAGCTTGCTTCATTTGGTTTATCTGGGTAAATTTTTTAGATTATCAAACCGTTTCTTTCTAACCACTTTATTAAAGCCATCCAATGAATGGCAACCCTCTCACTGAGTCCTCTTCTTTATGTCTTTTTGGGTTATTGTTTATACTGACCTTTCATAGAAACCATAAATACAATTGATTTTTAAATTAGCATCTGCTAAAGTTGTTTCTCTTTATTGTGTTTGCCATTTTCTTACGTCTAATTTAACTCTCTACCTCTACAAACCTCTTGTTTACCCCTTTATGGAATACTGTTGTCATATTTGGGCTGGTATTTCTAATGATGCTTTTTCTAGACAAAGTCTAAAAACGAATTGTAAACGAGTTGGAACTCCAAGCTTGAGCTTTTCTCTTATTGTCTTAAAGTTGCATCTCTTTCTACAAATTCTATCATGATTGCTGCTCAAAGGAGCACTGTATCTGTCCCAGCATGCTTTAGAAACTTTTGTCTAATTTTTTGTCCTGCACCTCAACCTATTTAAAACTCTCTCCCATCTTCATGTTTTCCTGACTCATATAACCTAAAACTTCTTAAGTCTTCTGTCAACAGTTTTTTATATACTTTCTATATAACAGGTATTAATGATTGTTAAATTTATATTCTAAAGAAAAGTTGGTGGCAGATAAATAATCATAGATAATTATTTGTATTATTACCTGTTTGTTAGAAAATCGAGTCACAGTCCATATCCATGTGTCAGGTATATCCATATTATATGTAAACATAATTTTCTTTTTCTATAAACAAATACTATTAAGATTACGATTATTGTTAACAACTTTATTTTCAAAAGGTAAAAACTAAAACAAACCTGCTCAATATGAATCACATCTTGTTTATGGTTCTTTCGATTGCAATCAACTGTACAAATGTAATCATGAACAGGGGTATCAACTAATACAGTACTCCAGATATCACAAACCTCATTTTTAGTAGACTAAATATTTTATAAAATATAATATTTTTGTATGAAGATTAATATTATCAAGTTTCAAAATAACATGTTTTATATACCGTTTATTGTCTCATACATACATACATACATACATACATACATACATACATACATACATACATACATACATACATACATACATACATACATACATACATACATACATAGATTAAATATACATATTAAAATTTTAATAAAACAAAAATCAAATGATTACTTCAAATGAATTGCAAATGAAATGATGCACTCCTTGTTTGGCAAAGCATTGACCATAAGCACGCCTTAAATAAAACAACAAAAAGATAAACTTTAAAAACCACATACAATTATAACCACTAATTACAAAAATTATTAAACATAAAAATAAAATTTAATAATATTAATTGCTATTAAATGCATTAGAAATAACATACAACAAGTAAAATTTTTATATTTTTTCATTTTTACACATTAAACCTGTTTCACTCCAGCACTAATTCAACTTTTATTTTTTTACCTTTTTTTAATTATTATAACATGTACTCTCTAGGCAATTTTCACATTTTGTACAGCGACCTCTAATTGCTTAAGAAACATATGAGTAGTACTTCCATCAATTTATGAGTAGTAATTCCATCAATTTATAAGTAATACTTCCATCAATTTTTACTTCCAATTATCTTGTAATCTTTATAAAAACTTACAATTTTTATTTTCAATTCAGATTTTACTAAATTTTGAAGGTTTGAAGGTTTTTACTAAAAATTAATTTTTTAATTTTTAGTAAAAACCTGATAAGCTTTTTTATTACTTGAAAAAAAAAGTCAAAATAAAGTTACCTGAAAGAAAGTGCAAAAGTTGTTTGAAAAAAAGCAAAAATGAAATGTACTTGAAAGGAAGTATATATGGCATTAATGATCTACCCCATTCAACTCTGACCCCACATAAATCAATAATTAGTCCATTTTAAATCATATCAATGTAAAGTAAAAAAGGAACTAAATACTAGATAAACTATGCACATTAAAAAATTCAACCATTTAAAAGACTAGAAACCTGTCAGGTGGTTACTACACAACTATTTAAAATGGTAGAAATCTGTTAAGTGGTTACTACACAACAATTTAAAATGGTAGAAATCTGTTGGGTGGTTACTACACAACCAATCTTTTCTTTAGTTTAAGAAAAAAAAATTACTTATATAGAGATATTATTTTTTTTTAATAATAAAAAAAAATAAGTTTGATTACCTATAGTATGCAGATTCTAAAGTTATACTATAAGCTTTAAAGTGAAAAAAGAAAAAGAAATAAAGAGACAAAAAACTTTTTTTATTTGTCCATCATATTTGGACATGTAGTGGTCATGTAGCCCTTACTGTGGACATGTAGTGGTCATATATTGCCCTAATTTTGTAAGTGAAAAGTTCCAAACTTTATCACTACTACATACCTAGTAGTGGAAAATTTCTACTAATCCTAACCATATCTCTGGCACAACCCAAACCCTCAGTCAATGTAGCAGCAGTCCTTTGCATATTCTTCCTAAATCAGTCAAATTTACTGAAGCCCCTAAGCCCCTAGCCCTAATTCATATTTTGTTCTCACATTTTACCCATTAAAAATTTCTACATTTTTGCATTTAACCAATGCCCAATTAAACAGTAACAAGTAGTAACAAAAAAATATGCAAGTATTAGTATTAGTATAACATGTAAAAATTTGCATTAAATATGAAATGCAATGAGTTAAAAATTTAGTTGACATAAAAAATAATAATAATTAACAAACACATTTAAACTAAAATAGTTTTTAAACAACAAACCGTGCCGAGTTAGTTAATAAATATTTAGTTTGCTCGATGCTTTTGTCATTAAAAGTCTTAATGCCACTCCTAACACCTTTCGGCCACATCCAACAGACAACATCATTTAAAGATATTATAATTGGATCCGGTACCACACGTTTCGATGTAACATGAACCTTTTTCACCTGTGTTAAAAAAACAAATGAATTTTGCATAATAATCTGAGTTATGTTTTATCCTTGTTTTTTGATTCCTAAAAAACAAGGATTCAAAAAAACAGCTGTCAAGTGTTCTAGGATTTTGAGAAAAAAAGCTTTAACCAGATGTTTTACTGTATTTTATGTTTAAAAAAATTATATTTCATATTTTTTAAATAGGCTTAAATATCTTATGCTTTTAAAAAGTTAAAAAGAAAATTAAAAAAAAAAAAAGTAATTTTATATTTCTATAGAACTTGGCGCAGGCACTGACGTTGTCCTTATTGTCAAAAATGCAGAATTTTTCTACTTTAACCTGTGTTTTTATGAAAAGTTAATTCAGTCTATAACCACCTGAAACCACTCACCAATTTATGCTTTACTCTAAGTGAAAAATTGTAGAAAAACCCTATTCACTAATTTAACTAAAATACATGTTAAGAACATTTTAAGATGTAAACAATGAATTATTAAATATTGATTTTTAACCACAAAACTGTTTTAGCATTTTATAATAAAAATAAAAATGATTTTCTTAACTTATCAATTGATTGCTACTACATCAAACATTTGATTAAAATGTTTCTTATAAAATAACAGGTAACAATAAAAATAAAAATGATTATCTCAAATTAATAATTTTTCTAAATAAACATTAATTGCTACTACATCAAACATTTGATTGCTACTGTATCAATACCTCATTACTAATAAACTAAAACTATTATAATAATTAGAATATATTAGAATGAATTAAAACTAAACTATAAACTTTAATAAAGTATTAAATAATATTTTAAATAATAACTCAACTTTAATTTTAAGTTAAATGTTAAATAGCAATTTAGTTTATTTTTTTGATCATTTTTAAAATTTATTTTTGAAATCATTTTTTGCTGCAATATTTGATCTGAAATAGGATCAGTGCATTTTAAATAAAAACAACAAATGTTTGATTTACTGATTAAAATATAATATTTACTGATCGAAAAGAAATAAATGTAATTAATATAATACATTAAATAAGTTTTAATAACTTAGTTAATTTGAATTTAAAACATTCTTTTTAAGTTAAAAAGTTGTTCTCATGCTTAAAGCAGTTCTTGACAGTTATGGCAGAGACCGACAGTGTAATTCTTATATTTATTATATTATACAACTATTATATTTATTATATAATTTAAATATTATGTTTATTATCTTTTTTCGTTGCTGTTGGCGGAAAAATTGTTGGCAGGAAAATATAAATAATAATTTATCTTAGAAAAGATAAATTATTGATTTAATAATCTTTGAATAATTAGAGAAGTATCAGCAATTTCTTTTATAAATAAATATATACTATCAGAAAAAAGAACTACTAATCTGAAATTTAATAAATAATAGTTAACCTAAAAATATTAAAAATATATCTTCAAAATAGACAAAAAAAATTATCAACTTTTAAATTTAAAAGACAAAGTAGTTGCGAATTTAAATTATTACCATAGTTCTTATAGTTTGGAAGCTTAAAATCCAATCATTCAAAAGTTGAAACTCTATTTCATTAAAACTCAAAATTCATAACTTTAAAACTTGAAATTCTCAACTTTAAAACTTGGAATTCAATCATTTAAAAGTTGGAAATTATGGAAAATTACTTGGGTGATTGATGCAATTTATTGAACGAAAAGATTGAATCAGATAAGCAGAAAAGAAGCAAGAACAAGTAGAGAAGCTAAAATATCAAGAAGATTTTTTATTTTTTACTTTTTTTACTTGCTATCTCAGAGTATTTATTTGTTATTTGAAACCTCTGACTTGCTTTTTTGAAAGTGTTTGCTTGTTAACTGTTTTCTTATTTTATATTAAATTTTATTTATTTTTCTTTCTAACTTTCTTACTACTAAGTACTTTTTATTCTGGATTATTATAAGTGTATTTATATTAAGTATACTTTACTAAGTGTACCTTTATATTCACTTATCATTACTACTTCCATGATATTTTGGTATGTATATTGGCATGATATTGTTGTTTATATACTCAAATTACTTATTTTTCTTTTTTAAAGTACTGTTTATTGTTTTTTTTTTTTTACTATTATAGTTATTACTATATACTATTTAGTACTATTTATTATAATTTTTATTGTATACTTAGTCGCTAATATTTTTTGTTATATATTATAGCCACTGCATCATAATCTCTCATCTCTTTGAATTTATTACTATTTGACATTAATGTTTACAAGTTATATTTCATCTAACAAACTTCTTTTTTTTTTTTTTTTTTTTTTTCTTTTTTTCCCTTTTTTTTTCCTCTAAAATCATATTAAATATATCCAAATTGTTTTACACTCCTAATACCTTATTATGCCATCTAAGAATATTCAGTTTGACTTTGAATCATCTTGAATCCATTTTTGTTGAAACTATAAAGCCTCACTTAAAAAATATAATAATTGGTTGTATATATCGACATCCATCTATGAATCAAGACAATTTCACTAATAATTATTTAACTCCACTATTAGATAAGTTAAATATTGAAAAAAAAAGTATTTTTCTTATGGGGGATTTTAATAAGGATATACTAAAATATAATGAATCAAATCCTATATCTAACTACCTTGACTCGCTTATTTCTTTTTCATTACATCCTGTTATAATTCTACCTACACGCATAACAGCTAAATCACAAACACATATTGATAACATTTTTATAAACTTCAATTCACCTGACCAAATCTTTGGCAATCTTACTATTTCAATATCTGATCATATGGCTCAATTTATCTGTATTCCTAGAAAAACTAACCACCCTAAAAAAAGTATATCTTACAGACGATGCTTCAAGACCTTAAACAAAAATATATTTATTTAAATTTTTCCAACATTAACTGGGATCTCTATATTAAAAAAGATGATGATGTAAATCAATCTATCAGTTTTCTTTTAAAGACATTTGAAAACCTATTAGATCAGTATGCTCCATACAAAAAACTAACTAAGTAGCAAATTAAACTTAAATCAAAACCATGGATCACCAATGGCATACTTAAATCTATTTCCATTAAAACAGACTATATAAAAAATGCACAAAATGTAAAGATATCAGTACTAAAAATAAACTGTTCTCTAAATTTAAATTTTATAGAAACAGAATCAGCTACTAAAAGTTAGTAAAAAATCCTATTACACAACCTATTTTAGTAAAAACTTAAACAATATTAAGAATACATAGAAAGGGATAAAAGAAATCATTAATATAAAACCTTCCTTCTATAATTCAACTCTCAATCTTAAATTGAAAGAAAATATTATCACAGATCAAACAACTGTATCGAATATGTTAAACAACTTTTTTGTTACTATCCAAAACAAACTTCAAAAAAAAATCATACCTTCAACATCCAAATTTACTGACTATATCAACTCTCCAAATTCTAAATCGTTCTTTATTGATCCTGTCACAGAGAATGAAATCTCTAATCTTATTAAAACCACCCGTAGAATTGGAAAAAGCTTTGGTCCTAATAGCCTTCCTTCATTCCTTCTTAAACTTATTTCAGACATAATTTCCTAACCACTTAGTGTTAGTATGTCAGACATAATTTCCAAACCACTTGTCCCAGATGCTTTTAAAGTTGCTAAAGTCATTTCGATATTTAAAAAAGGTTCTACATTGGATATGTGCAACTACCGTTCTATCTCTCTTCTTTCAAACCTAAGTAAACCCTTTGAAAAAGCTATGTATAAGAGGCTCTATGCATTTTTAGATAAATTTAAATGCCTTTACAAACACCAGTATGGACTTCGTACTAATCATTCCACAATCCACTCACTTATTAAAATTACTGAGTCTTTTAGAAAAGCTCTTGAGAATAAAAACTTTTCATGTGGTGTCTACACAAAGCTTTTGATACAGTAGATCATTCTATCCTACTCAAGAAATTAGAATATTATGGAATCAGAGGAATACCTCTTAAATGGTTTACTTCATATCTTCACAACAGATCTCAGTTTGTCTCAGTCAATGACTCAAAATCTACTCAAATAAGTTGTTCCAAATGGTGTCCCTCAAGGCTCAGTATTAGGCCCACTACTTTTTCTTCTCTTTATTAATGACCTTAATAACTCAATTAAGTTCGCAACTCCTTATCACTTTGCTGATGATACTAACTTGCTCATTATCAACAAATCTTTAAAAAAAATTAACAAATACATTAATCATGATCTTGCCAATTTAGTTCAGTGGCTTCGCTCAAATAAGCTTTGTCTCAACTGTAGCGAAACTGAACTGGTCATATTCAAATCTAATAAAACAAAAATCAATAAAAATTTAAACTTTAGATCAAATGGCCAGAAAATCATTCCTGTAAACTCTATCAAATATCTTGGAATTATAATTGATTCCAACTTATCGTTTGTGTCCCATATTAACGACTTAGCCATAAAATTGAGCAGATCAAATGGAATGCTGGCAAAAATTCGCCATTATGTCAATCCACTATAGAAACACTATTAAATATATATCATGCCATTTTTGGCTCACATATGATATACTTATCAAATATGGGGACAATCTCAACAGCAAGCAGTTTTAAGGATATCACATCTTCAAAACAAAGCTTTAAAAATAATACATTTTCAGAATTACAAATTCAATCCTAATGTGTTTTATCTCACTTCTAAGATCCTTAAACTATGTGACCTTGTTCAATTCTTGAATTGCCAGTTTGTCTGGAATCACCAACACAAAAACCTACCTCTTACCTTCAACAATTTCTTCCCAAAAAAAGCAAATAACCGTTACTATCTTCGATCAATTGATAATCTGAATCTTGCAGTCTTAAAACATCGTTCTGTTACTTATGGGTATAAGTCCATAAAAAACCAAAGTATAAAGTCTTGGAATAACCTTCCCTATGACCATTCAATCTATATTTTTAAGAGTAACCTATTCCATTCTTTCCTAATCAAATACAGTTAATAAATCCAAAGACATGTATTTGTGTTTAAGTGTCTGTGATACACACATGTGAATAAGTGGTGAGTGTATATGTATGTATGTGTATATGTATGCATGGATGTGTATGTCTGTATGTGTATTTGTATATATTTATATGTGTATATGTGCATGTGTATGTAAGTATATATATATATATATATATATATATATATATATATATATATATATATATATATATATATATATATATATATATATATATATATGTGTTTGTGTGTAAATGTATATATGTATGAATATATATATATATATATATATATATATATATATATATATATATATATATATATATATATATATATATATATATATATATATATATATATATATATGTATATATGTATATGTGTGTATTTGTATATATGTATATATGTATATATATATATATATATATATATATATATATATATATATATATATATATATATATATATATATATATATATATATATATATGTATATATATATATATGTATTCGTATGTGTATGTATATATATATATATATGTATATGTGTATGTGTATATGTATATATATATATATGTGTGTGTGTATGTGTATGTATGTATATATGTGTATGTATGTATGTGTGTATGTGTATGTATGAATATATGTGTATATGTATGTATATATATGTGTATGTGTGTGTGTATATATATGTACATATATGTGTGTATGTGTATATATATATATATATGCGTGTGTGTATGCAAATATGTGTTGGTGTATATAATATATACATATATAATATTATTAAATGTGTGTATATGTATTTATGTTTGTATATGTGTATGTATGTGTGTTATGTTATGCTATGTTTGTATATGTGTATGTATGTGTGTATATGTGTGTGTGTATGTATATGTACGTGTGTATATATGTTTATTTGTGTATAGTATATACGAATCTACATATATGGGTGTATATTATGTTTCTATACAATTAATGTATACATACCTGTATTGAATACAGGGGGATATAAGTATATGTGTTTATATGTATTTGTGAACGTAAGTTTGTATGTGTGTTTGTATGTGTGTATTTGTATGTGTCTGAATATGTGTGTATTTATGTGGCTAATACTAAATTACTAGTATTTTTTTTTATGATTATTGTAATTATTTTTATTTCTATCACTTTATTTTCATTATAATCACTGCACTTTACACATTGTATTGTTATTACTGTTACAACTACAACTTTTATTATTGTCTTTATTAGTATTTTTACTCCTTCAACTTTTAATGTTCGTTTTGTTACTGCTGTGGATGATTAATATTACTATTTGCATTAATCAATATGTTTATTAGCTTTTGTTTACAAGGTTTTTACTTAAGATTAGTACATGTACTATTTGTAAACTTCCGTGAATGTAACAACTATTTCAGAATATATATGAATTGAATTGAATTGAATATTATATTATATAATTATTATATTTATTAAGTTTTAAGTTTTTTTATTTCATTTTATTAAATATGTTCTTATTGTTAGTTAAAAAACATTTCAAAACCTTCACCTATATTATAACTTATATTTAGGGGTCGTCCATAACTTATGTCACACAATTTTTGACCATTTTTGATCTCCCCCATCCCTTTGTCACAAAATCATAACACTTAAGAAGCAAATTTTGTATGAGTTGTCACAAAACTACCAACCCCCTCCTCCCCTTTAAAGCGTAAAGTAATTTATGGATGACTTAGTATATTTTTTAGGTTACTTTTTCAGGACATTAAAATTTTCATTATTGATTAAATCTAAACCTCAAATTGCAATTTCAAATTTTATTAAAAGCATTGATAAAGTCTGATGAACACTCCCAGTATTCTTTGTATAACACATTTAAAAACATAGGTTGCAATTAAGACAAAATTGACCAAAAAAATTAATGAAAGTTTTTTTCAATCCTGATGCAATCAAATCTTTTTTCATTCCAAAAAAGGACTTCAATGTTATTTATTTATTTTAAACATATAGATAATACTTGGGATCAATATTGACCAGGGCAAAGGGTTGATACAACAAATTTAGAGTCCAGGCTATAACCAGAGCTTCATGAATTGTAATATAATATGAAAATTATTTATTTTTAATTGAAATTTCACATTACATTTTGTATATATGTTCATTTATATATATATATATATATATATATATAATATATATATATATATATATATATATATATATATATATATATATATATACATATATACACTATCCTTAGTAATAGCATTATTTTATATTCCTCAGAGTTTTTTTTTGTTTATTTTGTAAGAAATAGTATACTAAAAACATGAGTACAAAAATCATTTAAATAGTATGTACAAATTAAACATTCAATCTTTACAAATGTTATGGTACATAAATTGAATTAAAATAATTACCTGAATTCCAGGTTTAACCACAATAGAAATTTTAAATGATTTTTCTGGCCCAACTCTAAAAAATTTAAAAAAAGATGAATTATGGTCATGGTCATGGTCCTCAAGATAAAAATAACTTGAGCTATTACAAGAACAACTAACATTTCAAACTCATAAGTTTGAGGTTCATTGAACTGATAAAAAAAAGATCCAGTATAATATTGCTCTGGACATTGAACAATATTATTTATATTGATTCCACAACTGCGTACTTTACAAACCAGTTTTGTATTATTCCATCGCCACCATACAATATCTCCTTTAGAAATCTGTAACAAACTTTCACCAAAACCAGTGTCATGCACCCGCACCTCGTGAATCTAGGATAAAAACTTTAAATTAAATTAATTCCGTAGAAGTTCCTATAGTTTTAAAGGTTACTAAGGTTACTATAACAGTAGCCTTTTATAAAGTTTTTTTTTATCTTTTAATTTTTCTTAATTCTTTATCTTTTTTTTCTCTTTAATTTTACCTCTCCAAAACTTAAGTCATACTATGCTCTTAAACTCTCTCTGATTTTTAATTTTTTTTAATTTTTTAATTTCTAAACCTTTAATCTTTTTATTTTTCTGCTTCTAGTTTTAAAAATCAAACTTTAAGAGAAAGCCCCACCAATATAAAAACAATTCTATTGTAATAATGTCAGAGATTTTATGGAGCACAAATTAATCTATTTACATGTTAATGTTAATGGTGTTTTTTATTATTGCTCATTTACCATGCAACACATGTGGTGCAGTAGTATTTAATAATAATATTGACAACAATAATAATAATATTAACAACAGTAATAATATTATTAACACTAATAATTATAATAACAAAAACAATAATATTAATAATAACACTAATAATAACAACAAAAATAACAATAATAAAAATAACAATAGCAACAATAACAATAACGACCACAACAACAACAACAACAACAAAAACAACAACAACAACAACAATAAAAATAATAATAATAATTGGTATTCATTAAATACCTGAAAAATCTGTTATTATAAAAAAAGAAATTTAAACCTTTATCATTGGTTGAATAATTAGTGAACAGCAATATTCTCCATTCTCCTGAGAAGCTTTGAATGTCTGTAAACCATAGGTGTTAAGAACAATAGAATAAACTCCAACAGCACGTAATACAGAAATAAAAATTTTCTCAGATCGTTGACAACATTCTTTGAAGAAAATGTTAAAAACTTATAAAACATGCAACAAATTTAAAGTCTTTAGAAATTCTTACAATTTTTATATAACCTTTTTATATAACCATGTTATACAACCTAATAATCGTTATAATACCCAGGTAGACATACTTTGATAGAAATTTGTTAAAAAAAAGGGTTTTAAGCTGACCCTGATAATAATCTGTATAAGAAAATTTTTTGAAACTTGGTGTATATTGCTACTCTATACAATACAATTTATGCGGTAGTGGTGTAGTGGTAGAGCGCTCGCTTCATAAACGAGTGGTTCCGAGTTCGATCCCCACCACGTCCCTGGTAGTACCGCGCTCAACTCGTTTCTCCGCGCAGCGGCCTTGTTCGTCAAGGTTCGTGTTTTGGAGTTATAGAGTTGAGAGAGGGTTATAGCCACAAATAAGTAGCCTCCTCGTCTGTAGTGGCCTTCTCGGCTTTGAGGAGGTGAATTAAAATAAAAAAAAAAAAAAAAAACTTTACCATGATTTCTTTCTCCGTGGTCACTTCCATCTTTTACCTTAATGATCATAAAAATATAACATTACTTTAAAATTGTTTAGCAAAAAAAAAAAAAAAGGCACTTTTAAATACATTAACATTAAGTACTTACTCTACAAAGCAGGAAATTTTCAGAAACCTCAACTTCTCTCCATACCCACCATATTCTGTCTCCTTCACTTACAGATCCTAATGCTATGTAAATAATAAACAATACTTTAAAAGTTGTTTAAATAAAATTTTGTCTAATTTTATTGTTAAATTTTTATATTTTAAATTTACTTTTTATTTTTTATGTTTCTAACAAAGGTTTTTACTTATAATTATTAGTTTATTAATAATAACTATTAGTTCACTGCATTTTTTTTAATAACAAAGTAGAATTTTATAACTTTTGTTAATTATATCAATATTAAATTAATAATTTTCAATTTAACATTTAACAACCATAGAATACTAAAATAATTTAATTACTTAAGAATTATTAATTTTGTAATAATGCCCTGTAATTAATTATTATAATTAATTACAGGGCTGTGGAGTTAGAGTTGTGACATTTTAGAGTCGGAATCGCTATACAAAAACGCGACTCTGACTTCAATAGTAAAACTTCTTGGTATTGCATGTGCATGTACAAAATATTCAATAAACCTTATATTCATACTAAACCTCAAAGAACTTTTCATAAATTTAGCAAAAATAAATTTTTTAACTTATCGCATAATATTTTTTAAAAGAATTCAAAGAATTTTACAAAAATTTTTGCTTTGTAGCCAGAGTTGGAGTACTCTGAAAATTTCAACGATTGGAGTTGGAGTTGGTACTTTTTTTTTACACCACACCCTTGATTAATTATATCAAAAAACAATTATAAATTACATTATAATCAATAGCTATTTATAGTATTATTTTAAAGTAATTTAAAATTTAAAAAATCAACTTGATAATAACAATGATTAAAAAATGAATTTTTAAAATAAAAAAAATTTATAAAAAAAAAATTTATTAAGACTTAATGATAATCTATAATATAATAATATTGATAATAAGTATATATTATTAAATTATTATTGATACCTGGAGAAAATTCATTACTCCTGATTCTAACAACATGCTGTCTTGGCACAGGTTTGCATAACACAATGCATTTCATACCTGGTGATTCTATGTCAGAAATCTCATATACCCCTGTCTTCACAAAAAGGTGAGCTAGCAATCCTGCTCGTCTAAAAAATTGGATATATATATATATATACATATATATATATATATATACATATATATATATATACATATATATATATATATATATATATATATATATATATATATATATATATATATATATATATATATATATACAAACAAATTTAAATATATTCTACAATATAGAGTGCTCAATGTTCTTAAAAGAGCATAGCAATAATAATAATAATAATAAATTAGTAGAAAATCACTTATCAAACTTTTTATATTATGCACAGTGTTTCACCAATAAAAACTCATCAGAAAGTTTTCCTGATAAGTCTTTATTGATGAAAAACACAGTGTAAAATGAATTGATAAGGGATAAATGAAGTTTCATAAATGATCTTCTACTAATTTATATATATATGTATATATATATATATATATATATATATATATATATATATATATATATATACATATATATATATATATATATATATATATATATATATATATATATATATATATATATATATATATATATATATATATATATATATATATATATATATATATATATATATATATATATATATATATATATATATGTATATATATATATATATGTATATATGTATATATATATATATATATATATAGATATATAGATATATATATATATATATATATATATATATATATATATATATATATATACAAATCGTATTGCGTACTAAGGTAAACAATCTGACCTCATGCTGAAGTAGCTTGCTGCTGGGGGCTTCAGTACATACATCGACTGACAAATAGCCTGACTCGCAGTGGAGTGCTGCTACATCTACTGAGGGTTTGGGATGGGGCAGCAATTGTTTTATTCATCATTCTTCGTTTTTCTTTCTTCTTTTTCGAAAAAAACGGTATATTGTAAAGTAAGCAGAAAAAGTGAGCAAATGCTTATCAAAACACGCTTTAGTAAGTGTATATATATATATATATATATATATATATATATATATATATATATATATATATATATATATATATACACACAAACAATTAATTTAAGATTACAAGATAATTTTTTTCGTGTTTTGTGAAAAATAAATTTACCTAACTTAATGAAACTAAATATAAGAATGGCATGCATACCATAAGTACCATAAGAATGGCATGAATACCATAAGTATCATATTTTCCTAATAGACCATAAGTACAACTTAAGTTTTAAAAAAGTACTCAAAGAACTAGGTTCATTAGGATAGCTTAATTATTCGGAATGTGGTTAATTTTATGGTAAATTTAACAACTAATTTTACCAAATAAAGTAACAATAGGAAAATATTAAGGACTGGCAAAATCATTATTCATAGCTGGCAAAATCATTATTCATAGCTGGGTTTTTAATTCAACTAAGTATCTAAACATTGAACCTAATTTGCTGTTTCACTTAAACTTAGCTCTAAGCTTACTGTATGCTGTACCACTACATTAATGTTTATTTTTTCTTATAGTACTGACTTGTTATAAAAAGTTAATTCTTTAAAAAAATATTAAATATGTGTCATCAGTTAACGATGCCAAAAAATACAAAGTTTTTTAAATATGAAATCCACAAAAAAGTTATAGCATTAACATTTTTCTTTTAATTATAATTTTCTTTTGCACTTTAGGATGTGTAATGTAGACAAGCTTTTCTACATTGTTATTGTAAGATTGATTTAAGTCCAAATGACAAATTATTCAGCTGCAGAAAAGACTCTTTCTAAAAATGCTGATGAGCCTGGAATAGGATGTATTTTAGGATAATTATGTGTAAAATAGGCTTTTCTACATTGTTGTTGATAGAATTCAATCTTGTCAGAACATAGAGTATTAGAGGTGTACCGGATATTTTTGCCTGATATGCCGGATAGTGAACTTTTCTAAGGTTCTATAAGTGTTTATTAAGAAAAAAAAAATTTTCTAGACTACAGTAAATAGTGTTCTAGATCTTACTTAAAAAAATTAGTGAAAAACTGTATGACATGGTATATGTACTGATGAAGTATAGAAAATAGTAACTAAAAAAACCTAAAATTTGGCTATAAAAAACAATTTTTTTTTATACATTATAAACGCATATACATGTGTTATACCAGTCTTTTATTGATTTTGTTTTTTTAAATCTTGAACACTGTTTAATGGAGAATAGTAAAACTTATAGAACTTGAGAAAAGTTCAATATCTGACATATCACCTCTTTAGAGTATTAACAGGTGCTCTCTCTAAAACTATGGGTAAATCAATTTTGTCAGCAGATAATCTAGATCATGTTCATTTTGGATACATGTTTCAGTCATTTCAAATCTGTCAAGCTTTGTTTAAACAGTTTGCCTTGAATAATAAATCTATTTTCAATGTCCTTTTTCTTTACTGAATTCATGTTTCCAAGCGAGCTGCTTCAGTTTAAGAGATGTTTTTTTTTTATAGCGGTCACAAACTTCTTTTAACTCTTTAATATCAAAACACCAACCTTGTCTTACAAAGATGTTAAATGAAGAAACACGTTCATATACATAAAAATGTAATATATTTTATTATTCGAATTTAACTGAAAGTTAAATGAAATTTTGCAATTGTTACTTAATTTAACTAAAAGCAGAATTTGTATTTCAAATTCTGAAGTCAAAGTCCATGTCAACTTTGCCTTTTAGTAAACTTCGTAATCTGAATTTTAACAAATATTCTACCGTTCTTACAAAATTTCGCCTATAAAAATTATTTACAAATTATAAAATTTTATTTTAAGAAAAAGGACAACAACTAACAATGAAAAAAGAAATTAGAAAACTCATCTACTAACTAAAAATAAAAATAAATTCAGTAATTGTGCTGTGGTGATGAAACTAACATTGATTTCATAATTGAGAAGTAAAGAGTTCAAACCCACTAGTGCTTAAAATTTACCATATTCCTGAGGATGAATATGTTTATAAACAATAAAGTGAATATTTGTATTTATACAAAAAAAAATTTTTTACCTTGAAGAATACGAGTCAACATAAGGCAACCATTGGTCCTAAATAATAAACAGAGACAAAGTAAAAAAAGTAAAAATTTTGAAGAAGAAACGATTGGAAATAAACACTAAATAATTCATATTTATAATACGATAAAAAAATAAATGATAAACAATTTGTATTTGTAATTGGTAATTACTCTTACATAAGTATCATCTTCTGTTTTACATAACTGCTTTATACTAACAGAATGTTTTAGTGTTGATGATGTCTAAAACAAAATATCACAAACAACTAACCACACATCTTTAAGTTTCAAAATCTAATCAAAGTGTGTGTGAATAAAATAATAGTTAGAAAAAGCATTATATTAGAATATACTAAAGTGAGGACTAAGAATTACAGGAAACTAAATCCAAAAATGTGTGTTTTAAGGTAAGTTCTATTTTGGTAATGCTTAAAATGTGTAATACATATCATTAATATTTTTATTATTTAATATTTTTCTTAATTACATGCTTTTTCAATAAAAATTAAAATTTGTTTAAAGTGTGCCAAATTTTATGAGATTTGTATGTACGGAAAACTTAAGTTGTATTTATCTTAAAACTATGTTTTTGTAGTTAGGCTCCTAATTTTCAAAATTTAAAATATCAAAGTCAATAACAACATTTTTTTGCCATATAATGATAACACACACACACACACACACACAAATATATATATGCAAGTATAAATAACAAAAATAAAAAAGATTCAAAAAGAATTTGCATCACATACCTTACTTGGTCTCCAATGTATCCAAACACGATCGCCAGAAGTTACTTCGAGTATTTTTCGTGTAAAACCAGAATTTTTAATATCAACTAAGTGCTCTCTGTAAATATAATATCATTGATATCATTTAATATAAGATATTAACACAAATATGTAAATAAAGATTTCAAAAATAAAGAGCATAAATTTTAAAATATAAACCTTGATTTTTCCAGGACTTGCACAATGCAAAATGCTCTGCTCTCATCATAAGATTGAGTTGCAAAAAAGTAAACACCTGCAGTACTAAAAAAATTAAGAAAGATTTAGATAAAAGCCAACTATAGAGGCAGTCCAAATAAATAGATATATCCTTTGGAATTAGAAGAAATGAGGTTGGCAATATATTGCTGACCTCTAACAGTTAAATTTTTTTTGCTGAACTGTGTGGCACAAAAAAATTTGACACAAAAGGGTTACCATAAAACATAAAAATGAGGTCGGCATTTTTTTGCTGACCTCAAACACTTTTAGGTAGGCATTTAAGTCAGCATTGCCGAATGTTGACCCTAATTCCAAGGGCTGTATATATAAATATATATGCAAAGATGCAGTAAAAATAATGTTTTTAAATTTTTTTGAATAATTTGCAACTATAAAATATATAAGCAAATTAAAATAATCCAATCACAAAAAGATTGTTCGATATTTTTAAAGGATAGAACAGTAATATATATATATATATATATATATATATATATATATATATATATATATATATATATATATATATATATATACATATATATATATATATACATAGATATATGTATATATATATATATATATATATATATATATATATATATATATATATATATATATATATATATATATATATATATATACATATATATATATATATATATATATATATATATATATATATATATATATATATATATATATATATATATATACATATATATATATACATATGCATATATATATATATATGTATATATATATATACATATATATGCATATATATATGTATATATTAACTCATATATATATGCATATTTACATACAAAATTCATATATACAAAACATATACATTTGTGTGGAACTACTAAACTTATTTTTTATTTTTCTGTTGCTATTTTTTTACAATTCTTACAAATTTTTTCTTTTCCTCTATTCTATTATTAGAATCTTAAGACAACTTCAACTCCTTATACTAAATGGCAAAACTATATAAGACAGATACCTATATTAATACCTATACCAATTCCAAAACCTTTACTAAATAGCAAGACTACCAACTTACCAATTTTTGAGCATTAATTATCAATGCCTGGTAACTAATGATGAAAACATTTTTCTTTCATTTTATTTATCAACTTTGCAAATTAATTTCTAACAATTTTCAACCTTTCAATTTCTACACTGATACATAATATTCTATTTCTTCTATTTCTTTCTATAATATTCTATTTATTCTATTTCTTCTATTTCTTTCTATAATATTCTATTTATTCTATTTCTTCTATTTCTTTCTATAATATTCTATTTATTCTATTTCTTCTATTTCTTTCTATAATATTCTATTTATTCTATTTCTTCTATTTCTTTCTATAATATTCTATTTATTCTATTTCTTCTATTTCTTTCTATAATATTCTATTTATTCTATTTCTTCTATTTCTTTCTATAATATTCTATTTATTCTATTTCTTCTATTTCTTTCTATAATATTCTATTTATTCTATTTCTTTCTATATGGATCTTTGTATACTTTTGAAGTTTTTCTCTAATAAATGCAATTATCTTTGTACTTTCTTGAACTCAACCGCATGCAAATGCTTGTTATCTTTCTAATTAATTTTATGCCAAGCAACATTTTTTCCTAATAACAAACATCATTTTACAATTGCAGATGAATAAAGTTATGCAATATACAAATTAAAAGCTGTGTGTATTTTTAGTTTTAAATATCACATACTCAAAGGTTCTAAAATAAGTTCCAGTGTAGCGAGCATTCTCCTGATTTTCCAGTGATGTATATCCACCATGATCCATGCAATATCTATAAAAACAAACCTTACATATTATTGAGACTGTAGTATTTATTGCAAATCAGATAAAAAATACAAAAACTAAGAAACAGACACTAAATAACAAATAAGTAACAAAATTACTTTCTTTCCATCACATTGTGTGGTTCTTCACAGTTTTTCCAACTCCATCGTAATGTGTCCCCTCTGTACAGCTTGATGACAGCTACACTAAATCCATCATCCGTTACCTATAAAATGCAATAATAGTTAGATAAATTTAATAATATTGATTTTGAATTACAACCTTTAATGTATTCAACAGCTAAATAACTATTTACTTGTTATTCAAAATGTTTAATTTTTTTATATCTACATTATTTCTCATTATTTTAATTTATTTATTTTTTCACAAACTATTGTTATACTACCCTTTCAACCAAATGACTTCAAAACATAAAAATTGACAAAGAAGACTGATGCAAGGAGAAACAAATTAGTATTCCCAAAGTCATGGTAAGTTTAAATTCTATAATTCTTGCTAATGATGCAAACCTTTACCAAAATATTGGGTATGAGTATTTAATGGAAAACCCATGGGCAAACCATGGTTTTCCATTAGAAAATGGAAAACGGAAATTCCATGGAATTTCCATGGGTGAATTTCCATGAAAATTGGGTGAATTTCCATGGGTGAACCATGGTTTTTTTTTCATAGCTCACTTTGCACCATGGGTTTTACAAATTACGCTTTTAAAAATGTCATATGCTTTTTATAATGCATCACATTTAATATGATTCAAACTAAACATATAGACTTGAACAACTAGACATTCTTGCAATAGTTAGAACATGATAAATATATGCATTTTATAATGCATCATAATATGATGTTGGTCTCGAGACTTAAATCTTGTTCCCAAGAGGTTTTGAGACTCATTTAAGTTCTTGTTCTTAGTTCTGGTATTAAATCAAAATGCCTTGGTTTCAGTCTTGGCCTATGGTGTCTTTATGTCTCTGGATATTATCGTATTACAATGCATTTTAATATGCATATATTTATTATTTATATATTTAATTATATAATATTTATGCATATACTTATTCTAGCTATTGCCAATAGCTTTGCTTACTTTGCATAACATGCAATAGTATAGCAAGTATGTCAAGTGAATCAGTTTGATTTTTAATGTTGATTTGGTTTACAACAAATATTTTATTTTTGATGTACATTAGATAACTTTCAGATAGATTGGACAAAGAAGAAAGCTTTTTTAAATTACAATTTATAAGAAATAATATATTTGATGCTGCCTTATTCAATATAAATGTTACCAACATAGGTAACATTTATATATGTACATAAATCTTTTTACTTTGACTTTATCATTTTATTTAAATTATAGCATTATCAGCAGGCAAGTTTGACTGGCAATATAAATTTTTAATTCATTTATTTACATTTACATAATACTATATCTGTTGCTGCCTTGTTCTATATAAATGTTACTAACATTCAGGTAACATTTATATATCCATTAGTTTGTACATAAATCTTTTTATTTTAACTTTATTATTTTATTTAAATTAATTATAGGCAGGAATGTTTGACTGGAAATATAAACAATGTTGTACATCATGCAGGTAGCATAGGCATAAAAAAGGTAGTAATCTTATAATTGTTATTTATAAATAATGATATACTCATTGCTACTTTTTTCTATATAAATGTTACCCAACATATGTCAACATTTATATAGAACATTCAAAAAGTTATTTGATAATGTGTAATTATAAAGTAAGTTATAACAGATAATAATTATAAGTATTAATGAATAAGTAAATAAAAAAAATTAGTATGTATATATTAATTAAATGATGTATTGTCTAGATTGGCGAAATAGACAATGATACTAACTGTGGTGAAAACAATAATGAATATCAAAATGTGAATCTTTGTTTGACTTTTATCTGGTACTACAAACACAGTGGTGCAATCGCACTTATAAATGGTCTTGATGTTTTTTTGGATTGAATACGTTGTATTGATGATTCTTTTTAATTTGTTGAAACTTGAAGTTATTAATTATCAAATAGTTAACATAAAATAATAAACATGTAAATTGTTACATTTTCTGTAAAAATTGTTTTATTAATCTATTTCAATTGTCTATCACTCTATATATATCACTTATAGTATGATATTACTTGTAATTTTTTGTTTTATTTATTTTCAGTATGTTTATAAATACAGTATGTTTATAAAATATATAGTATGTTTATAAAATATATAATATATGCATTAAATATTGTGGTGAATTCAAGTTTTAATGTTTTAGGTGCATGATAGCTATTATTCTTCAAAGATTTCAACAAGAATTTGTTTATTGATTTTATTCGGCAAAAGCAATTCCATAGATTAAACTCAATTATATTAGCAACTTGCGTGACAAAATTTGCTTTTTATGCTTTAATATGACAATTCAAATAACATCAGATCAAAAAAACTTGAAAACAAAACATACTATTTTACCATGGAAAATCTATGAGTTTTCCTTGGAAAGGTGTTCCAAATATGTATGGAAATTCCATGGCTTTTCCATCTATGGAAAAACAATGGAATTTCCATGGGTATTTGGAACACTTTTACATGGAAAACTCATTGATTTCCCATGGAAAACTCATGGGTTTCCCATGAAAACATGTTCCAAATACCCATGGTTTTTCCATGGTTTTTTTATAGATTTTCCATCGAAATTTTCCGTAAAGAAACACACTTCTGCTACAGTAGTATGATAGTTTTATCACATACATCAGGTAAAACTCCTGATTTTTTTTTTATTGACCTTTTGTTTGCATTTTTTTGTGGACCTTTTTCGAGATATCGAGAGTTAACTGTATATAAAAATGCCAAAAAAAAGGTAAAAAAATATTGACCCTAATATATACATACATACATACATATATATATATATATATATATATATATATATATATATATATATATATATATATATATATATATATATATATATATATATATATATATATATATATATATATAAAATATATATATATATATATATAAAATATATATATATATATATATTATATATATATATATATATATATATATATATATATATATATATATATATATATATATATATATATAAATATATATATATATATATATTTAATGGTGTCACTCCTTTGATCAGACTTCTGTATGAGTGACACCATCCATACTAATCATTAACTTATTATAATAAGAAATAACATATCATTTTACTTATTACTATTATAGTAATTATTATTATTTATAATTTGTTTTTGTTATTATTATAATTATTGTTATAAATTATTACTATTGCTTATTATTTTATAATTATTATTGTTATTATTATTTACCTTATTGTTGTAAAAATGTTTTTAAAATCAAAAATAAATAGCTTGTTGTTGTTGTTGTTGGTCACATAGACCATTATCCATATACAAATACACATAGACCTTACAAAAATTATATTTTGCCTATTATGTAGATTATATCTAATGGATACAAATGCCAAACAAGTTTTTATTGTTTGTGCATGAGGTCTAGTTATGAACTGTTTTTCAGTACATTATAAAAAATCGAATAGCAAAAATGAATGAAAGAACCAATCAAAACTCACCTTAATGTCAATGACAGGTTTTGATTTCACAGTAATTTTGACAGGAGAATGATTTCGACTAAAAAAAAAATACAGTTTAAATTTAAATATTACTGCTTTTGATTGAAACAACTACAATAAAAATATACAGCAACAATATAATATTTATTACAAAAATAAAAAGGTACAAGTAAAGAATTACAATTTAAATAAATATTCTCTTGCAAGGTTAAACTCTTGTGTCCAAGTTTTTAATTGTTGAAGAGAGTTATCACTTGAGAACCCACCATCCACTCTTACCACCGCTTCTTCACTGCGATAAACCTGAATGATTATTTATAAATTTATGTTAATGATAAACCTGGATGATTTTATTCTAAAGCTGATTATTTTATTCTAAACCTGATTGATAAACCTGAATAATTATTTATAAACCTGAATGATTATTTATGTTGTATTGCTAACATTTATATTATTATATATATTTATATATCATACAAAAATATTAATATAATATATAAAAGGTTAGCAAAAGAAAAAATTGTACAAAATGTAAACAAAATAATAATGATAACAACATAATAATCTAGTAACTATAAAAATGTAAAATAAATTACAAAGACTAACCTGATAAATTTGGTCACTTGTTAACAAATTGTTACTAAATTGAAATGTTATGGCTTCACCTTCAAAAATAACAAGTCTGTCAGGAAGAAATTTGGTGTCGGTAACAGTAACAAACTGGCCACTAATTTTCATCTTAAAACCTTCTTTCTACAAAAATTAAAAAAAAGTCAACTTTGTTGTTATAAAAACAAATTTTAAAAACTGAAAAAACTTTAATAACTTACAAATTTTTTATCAACAGTGTAAGCTGGAGATGTTGATGGTTTTAAATCCAGATCATTTTTGAGTGAATTTGCTGTATTTGTAGAAAGCCTCTCAACAGATTGTAGTCTTTTTAATGGCCCTATGTCAACCTCTTCAATATGCTCTGAGCCATTAACATTGAATCCTTTTAAAGATTCGCTAACATCTGAAACATCAGATTGAAGTAGGTTATACTTTTTGAATTGTTGATCATGATATCCTAGTGGTAAATAAGATTCCTTTTGAGATTCTGTATTTTTTAGCGAAGATTTGAGCTCATTTGGAGGAAGACGTTTAAAATGAATTATGCCATTCATTTCTGAAAATGAATTTTCTACATATGAGAGTTCATCATCAAACATACCCTCCATTGCTGTTTGCAAATAATTTAATCTATTTGATGCGCTTAAACTGTTAGGAGTTATACGTTGATAAGGTATTAAACCTGCATCACTGTCATTAACAGAGTTGCTATCAGTATGTGAACCAAGTGTCATGTCTGCTGCAGATGTTGAGGTTTTGCATACATTTGGGTTATTAACTTCTTTTATGTCATTTACAGGTGACCTTAAAGATATTTCATCATCACTGGTGTTCCCAGAGCATGAGGTATCTTTTGGAAGAATCTCACTGTCAGATCCAACAGGCATTGATCTCAATGTGCTTGCATTCAGAGATGCATTCTGATTGGAATCAGAAAAGATTTGTTGCTGTGATTCTGGAGAATCCTCAGTATCAAATCTTATAGAATTTAATGATGCAAAATTCAGTTTAAAGTTTGCATTGGCAGCATTCATGTTCTCAGGTAAAATTTCATGTGCTTCCACATCACTTTGCCTTGCATCACTATGTATACTTGATTGCTTTTTTGAACCACTGTGTTGAGAATTTGATTCCTCTGAATTCAAAATTGACTCAGGCTCCACAACCGTTTTCTGTAAATCATCTCTAGATACTTGATTACAAACTTTTGTATCATTTTGATCTTCAGAAATGCTATGACAAACATTTTCTTGCTCACTTTTGTCTGTTTCTCCAACATATTTTGTGGTTAAGGTATGGTCCTGGTCATTATTGATGGTAGCATCAGAAAATGTTTTTTCAGCTATACCTGAATCAAACATACTATCAACAATATTTCGAACTTTAATTTCAGTATCTTTTCTTGAAAATGTGATTTGTTGGGCATGCTTTCTATCTGTAATACTCAGATTAACTTCTTCACAAAATGATAATAGCTCGGCTAGATCTTCTTTGTTATCTGTTGGTTCCACTTGTTTGACACTTATATAATTACTTGTGAGCATGGTATTGTCTTTATCAATAAAGTTACTATCAAAATGGTTGTCCAAATTAATTGGTTTAACATCACTTAAACTTTCATGTTTCATTGCATCGTAGTCTAGTTGGTCATCTCTTGACTGAACTGGAGTCGACTGAAATAATGGCAACCCTGAAGAATGGTATTCAATGCTTTTGCTTTGAAAACTACTATCATTATTAATTTCATTTGTTGAGGAAACTAATTTTTCTTTTATGATAATTTCAACATTTTCTGTCTTATCATTATGATCTTGTCGATTATGACCTTGGTTGACATTGGACATATTTTCCTTGTCTGTATGTTCAATGTATTCAGTTACATTTTTATCACCTGACAATTCCAGTTCTTCTTCAGCTACTTCCGATTGACTTTTTAATTCTTTAAAAGTATCCTCAACCTTAATTATAATAGAATCTTCTCTGGTGATTCTATTAATTATGCTCGCTTTCTCTTCTTTTACGATTTCTATAACATCTTGTTGATTAGCAGAAAAAAGTGTCTCAAGACCAACATCAACATTGCCTAATATAACATCTTCAATACGACTATCTGATCGATAATTTGAGCGAGGTCTCATTGATGAAATTCTTTCTTCAATAAAAGACTGTGCTAAATCATCATCTTTCTCGGCCATAAATGATTCTGTTTTTTCTTCAACCAAAACTAGATTAGCTTCTAAAATCTTTTCAGTAGCATATGAATGGTCTTGTACCACATTATCTCTATTGCAAGCTTCTTTGGCCCAATCATCAGTAATGTAAGGGTTACTATCCTTATTAGCATTTTCAGTGATATCATTTTTTAATTCATTAGAACTTGAATTTGTATTTTCTGTTAAACTTTCAATTTTAAATTGATCTTCTCTATTTTCTTCTGGATACTCTACTATATTTGTATTATCTATGTTTACCTTTTGATTGCCTAAAATATTTAAGATTTCAATACTTGACTCCTTCACTTCATCATTTATATTGTATTCCTTATTTTTATCCTCTATTGTTTCTATCTGGATGGATTCACCAACAACTGAATCTTGAACAATCTGTTCTGGAACAAAAATGTTTTCTTCAATATGTAAGCGAAGTTTTTCTTTTTCATCTGGTAGTAACCCTTCAGTAAGATCTTCAATTAGTGATTTTTTAAGACTCTCATAATCATCATTAAGAAAACAAGTCCTTTTCTCTTCTAAATCAAGACGCTGCTTCTTCCAAATTTTAATTTTTTCAATTATATTAATTCTTTCTTTGTTTTCAGTTTTCTTTACTTCATCGACTGTATATGAATCTTTTTCATGATTTAATGATAAATTTTCTTCAATATGCATTTTAAGTTTTTCTTTTTCATCAGGTAACAAACCTTCGGTAAGATCCTCAATCAAGCACATTTTAAGAAGTTCATAATCATGGGTCAAAAAGTTGTTTCTCTTGGCATTCAAATCAATACGCTGCATCTTCCAATATTGCATTTGAACAAAAGGATCCTTGTTTTTATCTTCTGTATTTTCATTTTTGTTTTCACTAAAACAATTTTGTTGCTCACTTTCTAGTATTTCATTTTTTAAATTTTCTTCAATATGCAATCTAAGTTTTTCTTTTTCAGTAGGTAGCAAACCTGCCGTAAGGTCTTCAACCAAAGACATTTTAATAAACTCGTAGTCATCCTTTAGAAAACTCTTCCTTGTTTCTTCTAAATCCTTACGACGTATCTTCCATGATTGCATATTTCCAAAATCACTGTTTGTGGCACTTGGCTCTGTGCTCTCGTTTATATCATTCAAAGAACTTTCTTCAACTTGTGATTGAAGTTTTTCTATTTCAGTAGGCAACAAACCTTCAGTGATATCTTCAATTAAAGATGCTTTAAGGGATTCATAGTCATTCTTCAGAAAACTGTTTCTCTTATCATTTAAATCATTGCGTTGGACTTTCCATGACTGAACATTTTCACTATCAGCACCATCTCTTTGTTCTTTTTCATTAATACTCTCCTCAATACACATTTCTCCATTAACAAACTTTTCATGACTTTTTAATGGTGCTGTTGTAATACTATATATTGGTAAACAATTTTGCATAATTTTTGTTGTTAGATTATTGTTTACATTTTCTATTGGTAGATTATTTTCTACACTTTTTATTGGCAGATTATCTTCTATACTTTTTACAGGTAGATTATTTTCTTCACTTTTTGTTGGTGGATCGTTTTCAGCACTATTCTTAATTTGAACTTCTAACTGATTAACAATTTGATTATCTCCTATAATGTCATCTGCATTTTGGCCTGACTTGGTTTGGAGAACTAGAGAGGTACCTTCTATTGCTGCAATTACATCATCTGTGTTAGATTTATATGAAACCTCTGTATCAGCAAAGTATGGTTCAGGTGTTTCAGGGGGAAAAACATAAAATCTCCTAAAATAATATTATAATATACATCATATAACTATAAAATATAATATATATATATATATATATAATATATATATATATATATATATATATATATATATATATATATATATATTCCTTATATCTTTATTTACTATCAACACTTACTCTGATGTAAAAACACCACTTGGACGTTTCCCGTCTGAGTAAGCTCTGGCTCGCACAAAGAATATACCACCATTTAACAATTGCACGCCTTCATCTTTGTTGTAAAGCTTAATATAAAATTATATTTTGCAATTAAATACTCCTTAAAAATGTTACATTTAAATAAACATTCTTATAAGTAAAACATTTTAAAAATATTAACACACTAAATAACATTACACTAAATAACATTTCATAAATATGAAAGTATTTTTATCATAAAAATAATCATAAATTATCACAGTTAAAAAAAAATCGATTATAAAAAACTAATGACATCAATCAGAAATAGGGATAGGCAAGAACTTCAGTACATATATTTACAGAGAGTTTGCTTTTGATCAGGAAGTATCAACATATAAAAAAGATCTACATGGTTTTTTATTTCTCTGTAAAAAAAAAATTCAAAAATTTAAAAATTATACCACACAGAATACATTTTTACAGTGGGCAACATACAGTTTCTGTGTTTAAAATATTAAGGAAATTGTTAATTTCAAAAACCTATCAAGCGTGCTTTTTTCAATTTTGTGAAAAACTAAATAAAACTAATATTTTCGGAAAATAAAATTTCTAAGTTTTAAAACTAGTAAAGATTTTGCAAGGAAAAAAATTTTAAGTATTTCTTATAGTATTTCAAAAACAAATAATGCTAAATGCTAATGTTAAAAAAACTAACCCCATAATTTTTAAAATTTCATTTTTGTTGCAAAACATTTTAAAATTTTTTGTATATGACGTGTTTCTACAATGAAATAAAACTTTTTACCTAATCAAATTTTTTTGACTATAATATTGATTACAGGGCTCAATTTAACAGTCAGACATCGCTGTCCCCTCGACTGTTTTTAAGATCTGATTTATGGAGGCAACCAACCATTGTTCATTTTTAATGAAAATTTAAAAATGGTTCGTTACTCTCCTCTAGCAGGTCTCAAGAATGGTCCGAGGGGTGGCAATGTTTGACCGTTAAATTGAGCCCTGTGATTATAAAAAGCAGTTGTAGGTTGTAAGTAAAAAAGCTTCATGTTCAAAGTTATTAAAAATCAAAGAAAAAGGTTAAAATATTAGTAAAATAAGGAACACACACAAAAAGAAATAGTCAAAAACAAACAAGATATTAAATATTATTATATCAAATATTAGTGATAATACGTATTATTTTTGGGTATTTTCTAAGTATTATTTTTAGGTAGCCCATAAGTGCTACTTTTAGGTGTTTTAGGTGTTTCCAAAACATTTTGTACTAGTACTGTAACATTAGAAATATTATTAAATAAAATAAATATTAAAATACAAAATTTTAATTTGAACTTAATCATCCAATATTTGTAAGCTCATTTGTTTGATAGTTTTTTTCTATAATAATTTTTTTTTAACTCTTTAATTAAAATAAACTTTTTGCTTAATCTACTTAGATTTGATTAAAATGAAACTAATTGATTGAAAATTTTTAATCAAACCCAAATAGATTAACTATTTAAATGAGTTTAACAAAAAAGAGAGAAAAAATATTAATAAATAAAAAGATTTTAATTTATTTTATATGTAGTATCCTAAAGAAATTCTAAATAAATTTAAGAATAATAAATTAATAAAAAATACCATTGAAAAAGGAGCCATTGGCATAGTTCCATCAGTTGTGTAATAGATAGTTGCATCTGATGCACAGTGTAGATAGACTACATGTCCAACTTCCACCTTAAAAAAATTGATGTATTAAAAAAAAATCATTTTACATACTTTATTGAATCTTCTCTTTACTTCCCTTACTCCCCTTAAAGACAATAATAAATACAAATATAAACATGTAAGTCAGTTAAGTTGGCATGAATCAGAAGCATGAATCTTAAAGACTTAAATCTTAAATATTCATTATCTGGTTCAAAACTATAAAGATAATTTATAGTTTTGAACCAAGGACCAATTTTATGAAAATTGGTCCTTGGACAAGAAATAGATCAAATACGTTTGCAATTTATAGATACATACCAAGTTCAAAAAAATTGATAAACACTTCAACAATAATTACATTATTATTATTGTAGACCTAAAATTGCAGTCATAAATAAAACTCTAATTGAAAAAATTTTGAATAATATAAAATTAATATTTGAATTTTTTGAATATAAAATTAATATTTTAATTTTGAATAATACAAATTTACTTTTCTTTTAGCATACAACAAAACTTTGCAATAATATCATTACTTTCATACTTGTCATAGTTACTAATAATTAAACAAACAAAAATCACTAAAAGTCTTACACTTCCGCCATTCATCTCACCAGACAGAATACAAGGTGACGACTCCATTGTATCTATAAACCAGATGAATAAAATACTTTATATTATATCGCAATAACTACAATAAAAAAATGAGGATGATACTCAGTTAAAAGTTAACTTACCCCAAACATGTGCATTGCAAATTAAATTGTTTTTAACTGGTACATCAGCATCAGCTGTGATTCGAAAACAACCTGTTTGATTAAAGTGAAATAAGGTACCAACTTCAGGAAGTAATATGCTCTCTAATGAAACCATCTATAAAAATTATTTGTTATTTTTTAATATTTTTTGCTTTGTAATAAACAACAATAGTGTAACAATTTTAAAACCAATAATGTAACAAACAACAATATTGTACAATCTTTATATCAATATTAATCTTTTTATTTATATAATTTATAAATAACAAAGTTAAAACTTAACTAAATAGAAAACCTTACAAAAATAATGAATCTAAAAAAAAAACAAATATTTATAACCTGTTGATTACTATCAGAGATTGTCCATTTTAACTCCCTGTTTGCTGATAGACTCAAAAGCACATTTTCCCCCTAAAATGTATAAAATGTTTTTTAAAAATATATATATTTGGCGTAAATATTTTTTTAAACATTAATCTACTATTATGTAATAAAGAATAAACATGAAAAAAGCACACGCCTTTTCAATATAGACAGACATATTTGATTTCTGATCTGTGAAATTTACTATATAATTTTCTTCTGTGTTATCACAAAGTATACTGCTCCAAATGCCAGGAGGAGCAAAATCAGAATCTTCCTTTAAAAGAAAAAAAGAGTAAAGAAATAGGTTTCTTTTTGATTATATAAATATGTATTTAATAAGTATTTATTAATATAGCAAAACTGTCATATTATTTTGAGTAAATAATAGACAAAAAAAACTTTAAACAAAAAATTTTGTAAAAGTCGAAAAAATCACAACATCTACAATATATGAAAGAAATGTATTATTGCAAAAACAAATATATAAAAAGTATGAACTAAAAGAGAACTCACTTTTACTTTATTTGGCAACGAAGAACAGCTAAAATGATAAACTCCACTGTGAGAAAGAGCTCGTACCATACAACGCCTAAATAAGTATTAAAAAGCGACAACTTAAAAATTTATTTATGTTTTTAATGGATTTTTATTGTTATTAAATTTTTTGATGCATTTTTTATGTAATTTATTGATGCATTTTAATTGTTAGGGGTCGTCCATAAAGTATGTACGCTCATAGGGGGGAGGTCTTCAAAAAGTGTACGAAAGCATATGGGGTGGGGGGTGGGGGTGGGGGGGTAGGTCTCATTTTAAAAGTACGTACTTCGAATTTCTAATTTTACACAATTAACCAGCTAGTCAATAGAAAAGTTAAAATTCTGACTAAAGATCCTATTTTGCCAATATAAAAAGATGTACTGTAAAGGGAGTTTTAGGTATAGTTTCTCTCTATGCACACACATGCATGGGCGCCCGCAAGATTTTTTGATGTTCCAGATAAACCACTTCCACACATTGAGCAAACTACAAACTTAAGTATGTTTATACCTATGCCATTTAAAGAAGCCTTTCAAAAAATTGTTATGGTGGTAGTCTGGGAACAAAAAAGCCCTCAAATGCTTGCATCCCCTCCCCTGCCCAAACATGAGGGCACTAATGTAGTAAAATTCCCTGACCCCCTCCCCCCAAAATAATTAATAATTGGGGGTTGTACATTTTGCATCGCCATTTACATCGACATTTTGTAATTTACAATATTTTTCAACTAAATTTAAATTCTGTCAATAAATTTGAATTTAATTTTAGATCGTTAAGTTAAAAATTTTACTACAGTAAGTGCCCTCATGTTTGAGCAGGGGGTAAGTGTTTCAGGGCTATTTGTTGACAGCTTTCCGCCATACCGATTTTTTACAAGGTCTCCTCATTTGGCATAGGTATAAACATACTTAAGTTTGGAGTTTGCACAATGTGTGAAAGTGTCCTATCTGAAACATCAAAAAAAACTGCAGGCGCCCATGCCACCCCTTATATACTGGCCCTGAGTATACTCAGAAAATAGGTTATCTATTTTTTGAGTCAACAAAAAACAGGTTTTAGCAGTGCAATGGCTAATAGGTTGGAGACGCCCCCTCCCCTCAAAATAAAAAAACGTGTCATTAGAGTTTCAAAATCTTCCAAATTTTACCGCTAGGTTTTGCTAAAATAAAATTGCAAAAGGGCATAAAATTTGCTGCTCCCCCACAACACACCACCCCCTCTAATTATGGGGTATGGGTAGCCTAAACTTGGCACTGGGTTTTAAGCTTTGTTTTCAATATTACTCTTCTCGCGTGGCTCGCTTTTTACAGACTTACTAAAGGGGGGTGCCTGAAAAAAACATCTGCCTTAAGTATAGTTTATTTTTATTATATGCGTCTCATTAAACAGAAAAAGTAAAATAGGACTTTACTGGGAATCGAACTCAGATCTCCGCTGTCACTGCCCATAACATCATCCACTCAGCCAAGCGATCTCTTCAATATTGCAAGATTTAATTACATTTAAATTTATATTTGTATATATTTAATGATGTTTTTTAAATTAGAATCCTATGCCGCTAACAAAGGGCTTTGGGGTCGTATATATACTTTATACATTTTTCACCCCCCGCCTATTTTTTTTTTTTAATACAAAAATTTATTGAAATAAAAAAGGGGGAGGAGGTACCCTAGGGTATCTCCTCCACCTTTTTTTTTTCAATTGAGGGGGGGGGTACATGAAAATATATGTACTTTTTAAGGGGGTGAAGACTTAAAAGTACGCATAGCAACAGGGAGGAGAGGGGGTGTCAAATTTCGGAATTTTTGGCGTACGTACTTTATGGACGACCCCTTATTTAATTTTTCTTTAAGCAAATATATTTTTTTTAGTTTAAGGGTTTAAATATTTAGAAGGGTATTTTTTATATAAAATGTAAACTTTTCTTTATAACTAATTTTGACTATTTGCAATTTAAATGTATTACAACTTTAAAATAAATCAAATACAAAAAGAAAAAGAGAGTAAAAAAAAAGTAAAAACAAATTTATTTACGGGAATAAACCACAATGTCTAGGTAAGTGCCGGCTAGGTGTGTATATATGTATATATATATATATATATATATATATATATATATATATATATATATATATATATATATATATATATATATATATATATATCAGGCTTGGACAGGAGCGGCATGTGATCAAGCACTATTGCTGACCACGCAAATGATTTTTTTTTTCCAACAACTTGACCACAATTGTTTAAATGTTTTATGATTTAAATATTTCAGAAATGCGCTGAAAATAGAAACGCTGAGCTTAACTCAAACTAGAATAATAATAATAATAATAATAATAATTTTTTTTATTTTTTTTTTGTATGTATTTAGGTGCTCCCAGAAGTCCTTACGGTCTTATCATAGAGCACCGCGGGAGAGCATTTAACAAGAAGTTCACGCCTCCTTCCGTACCAATGTCACTTGTTGGGCTAGAGCTGGCGTCGAACCTGGGACCTCTGGGTTCTGAGCCAGAACTCTAACCACTGCGCCACGGCTGCTCAATAATAATAATAATAATAATAATAGTAATAATAAAGAAAAAACAATTCCTTACAAAAAAGAAAATATATGAGCACTAAAATTAAAAATAAAAGCAAAACTTTTTTAATTGCTTTTGAAATAAATGTTAAAACTTCTCTTTTTAAATATTTTATTAAAGTTTTGCAAAACGATTTTAAATTAAGTAACAAATTACTACTAATGGTTTTGTTTATTAAATGAACAAATTTTATCAAATTTATAAAAAAATGTTTTATATAATATTTTTAAATTGTATAAACATTTATTTTTTTCAAAAAAAATTCAAAAGAAAAAATATAAAATAATTGTTTAAAAAAACTTCTTTCTAAGTAGTCTTTCAAAAATTTTTAAAAACTTTAAAAAGAATTTTTAAATTTTTAAAAATTTTATGCTCTAATTAGTAAATTAAGTTAAATAAAAGTTTTATTTGTAAAAAGTTTTTAAAAACGTTTTTATTCGTAAAAATAAAAAGCAAAAAAAAACTAGCAATTTGTAACTTTTTTATTTATCTAACAAGGGTTTCTTGTAACAAATTTAAAAGTTATTATAAAAGATTTAAACTCTTTCCCATCATAATTAAAGAAAAAAATTTTTTTTTTTTTTAATAAAATGTTTGTTTAGAAGATCGTAAGTTTAATTATAAAAATTATTCATATGAATATTACAGTATACTTCAAAACTTTTCCATTAATCAACAGAATACATCCTTATATTAGTAAATAATTTACTTTATATTCTTGTATAATTCATATAAAATATTCCTACACTCCTTCTTAGCAACTAGTCACAAAAAGCTTTACATTTATTAAAAAATTAAAGTAACTTGAAAAAAATTATTTTAAAAAATAATCGTTTAGAAGATTTTTTAGGAAGACATGGAAAAATAGTTTCAAACATTTAAATTTATTATAAAAAATACATGCCTATAAAAAAAAAATTATATATAACATCTTTTATTAATTTAAACAAAATGCGTTTATTTAAACAATCATTATAATTAATTTTATATTCTTATTTAAAGCCTTCTGGTAAAATAAAAACTTTAGAAAAGAGCAACGATTAAAAGTTATAACGTAACACTTTTTTTATTGCATTTAAATTGATGAAATATCAAAATAGCTGTGGTCAAGTTGTAAAGAAAAAAAACTATTAGTGTGGTCAGTTACAGTGTTTGATCGCACAACATTCCTATCCAAGCCTGATACAAGCCCATTGAGCTAATTTAACATATTTTTCTAATTTAAGCATCCTAACATCACTGCTGTGCCATCACATTCTACAGAAACTAAATAGTTCTTCAAATATTCTTATATCATCCTATAAAAGCAGAAATATTTCAGTAAAGCATCAAATAATCCTTTAGCCGTAACACTTTTAAGTTCCACTAAATCCAAAAGTAAACTGATTGGTGAATTCATTTTACAGCCCTTTACACAACACTGAATGTACACTATCAGTGTCAATTTTTGGTTTGTAGTGGTTGACTCTTCAATCATTAACAAAATCTTACTTTTTGATTTTGTGACTTTTGCAATAATTTTTTTCCTTATTTCATTACCTATATGATTGGCAATTTTAATGTATACCCTTCTAGAATAAAGATTACGACTAATTTTAAATCCATTAGTTTCTTGAAGATCAATTTTTCCATTTCAAAGTTATTAAAGGGCTGATACTCTTTTCCAACTTTATATGCAGTTTGAAAAATGTTTGCTGTCAAAATTTTCTCTTGCTTTAAAAACTTTAACGCAATATTGTTTATTGATAAAAATATTGTTTGAAAGAGTCTCTTTTTTTAGCTTTTTTACCATCTTTACAACTCACATTTGTACTTTCAATTTAAAGAATTTCGAAAAGCTTTTGTGGAATTTAAAATGTTATTTAAAAACTAATTTCAATAATAATACAGGGGAAAAAAAAGTTTATATAAAAAAAGATGCCAGTTCCAGTGCGTTCTAGGAGGAAAAAAACACTGTATATATATATATATATATATATATATATATATATATATATATATATATATATATATATATATATATATAATATATATGTAAGCATATGAACACATTGCATTTTAGAACTAAAGCATATAAAAACCTTGAGGAGAACACAACATCATTATCATCTGTTTCAGTTGAATTATCATCTTGGTAGGCGGTTAAAGAACTTAGAATTCCTTTTGGCCACATCCAACAAACAATGTCATTTAAATTTGCAACCACTGGATCCGGCAATACTCGCTTGCTTGTTACTTGAAGTTTGTGTAACTTAAGTTTTTTAAAAAAAAATTATTATCAAAATATGAGAAATGAATAATATATATTTCTTCTTATTTGAAAGTAAAAAAACAAAAAGCAAAAGGATAAAATATATGCAATTTTAAAAATTGTGTTAAACTTACATTTATTTGTGAATGAACAACAACAGAACCAATCAATTGTGCCGAGCCACCAATCCTAAATAACATATTATAAAACTATTGGATGCTAACCCAGATATAAATAATTACATAATTAAAATAACAAATTAGTCAAACATTTTAAAAAATCTTATTTAAATAATCACTGTTTTTTTATCTTATATTGATTAATTTTATATTATTTTAATTTATTAAAATTAGTTTATATTTTATATATGTCTGGAGCTAGCATCAAACCTTGGACCTCTTAAATGAAGAACATGCTATAACTAATGATACCTGTCTTAAATTAATGATTAAATTAATGTCTATTAAATGTACTCCATCCAATAGAGCATAATGAGATAAAAAATATTTAAAATTTCAAAAACAACACCTAAATATTTACCCTTTAAAAATGTATGTTCCATTTTTATTTAACTGTAGAAAATATGCACCATATAAAGGTTGACTTGGACAATTTAATGACAATAGATATTTTTTGCCAAGCAACACCTAAAAATAAAATATCATTTAACAAAATACATAATAAAATAAAATATTTATAGCTTTTCCTTAATACACAGTGGGCCAGAATTCACTTTTAATGGACAAAATTAATAACTAATTAAATATTAGGTCTTTATTTACTAAATTTAACATGAGTACTTATATAAGGTCTGCGCTTATTGTGAAAGTGATATTATTACATTTGGTTGCTATGGATATCTAATTTTGCTTAGCAACAACCTATTTTTGGTAGTTATCGATGTTTTATGTTTGTTTATACTATAATTAGTTTATGCATTAGTATGAGGTTTGCTCTTCTTATGAGGGGGATATTTTTTATTTGGTTGCTATGGTTACCTAGTTTTAAGGATATCTAATTTACATAGCAACAACCTATTTTGATAATTGCCAGATTTTTTATGAGTGCTATATTTACTAAACTTGACATAAGTACCAATACGAGGTAATATTCTATATGAAAGTCATAATTTTTTTAATTTAGTTTCTATGGATACCTATATTGCTTAACAACCAGAGACTTTCATTAGTTACACAATGATAAATGGATTTTTTTTTTAAATTTTATTGGATTTTCAACCGTCCTATTTAAAATAACTATTAAATATTTAGGTAATTAATTTTAGGTAAAGATTTAGGTTAATAATATTAAAAAAAAAAAATATTGCAATAAAACAATGACAATTTGAAACATATTAATGAGTTATAAAACATACATTCATGCATAAAATAAGAAATCAAATTTTGGATGAGTCGACAGTCAGAGCCTGAAGCAAATAAATAACTCCTTCTGGGAGTTGAGATTTTGAATTTTGAGAATTTGCAAACAAATGAGCCACCTAAAAGAAGCAACTAATCATGCAATTACAAAGCTAAGTTAGCCACAGCTCAGTATAGAAACAATATTAACAAATAAACTTACCTAAAGGCGGTATGTTTTGACATGCTCTGCATTAATTAGCAAAGCTGATAAAAATGTGGCTAAAATGACATGCAACTTTTTCAGCAATAGTAAATCCAGTTTTAAAATTCCAGCTACAATACTTTCAGATTGGAAAAAACGACAAGCTGTATTTCCATCATTGGATGTCCCAGAACTACCATATCTAGGCACATCAATAATTATTCCAAGACAATTTTTAAAAGCATCTTGGATTTTTTGTTTGTTATCACAGATAATTTTTCTTTTGCGCTGTCCACCTGGTACTTTTGTTTATTAAATTTGTAAGCAAGGTGAAGACAGCATTCCATTGTTTTAATCCATGCATGTAATAATGATAAGCCATACTTTAAATTAAAGTAGTTTGCATTTTCAATTTAGCTGCCATTTTTTCAATATTGTTTATCTCTTTTGGTGTGCTGCCACACACTGAGCAGTACTGTGATGCATTAGTCTAGACTAATAATTCTAATGAATCTTTATCATTTACCATGATTATTCCAATGATATTTGGCACATTTAAATAATGAAATAAAACTTTTATGTTACGCCAATTCTATTATTCATTTAATACAGCTTAAAATGATATTAGCATCCATAACTGTAGCTATGTATTACCTTTTAAATGTTAAAATGTAATGAAATAACAATCAATACTGTTGTTTTGCAAAAATAAATTTAAAAATTAGGTACCCATAGCAATCAATTAAAATTGTAATTTCCATAAGTGTGAATCTCAATTTTTATTTTTTTTTAGTTATTTAGTTATTTAGATGCTCCCAGTAATCCTTACGGTCTTATCACAGAGAACATTTAACAGGAATATCACACCCCCTTCTGTACCAAGTCACTTGTTGGGCTGGAGCTGGCGTCAAACCTCAGACCTCTGGGTTAGAACTTTAACCACTCGTTTTGAACATGGATCTTCTGCTTATAAAGCAGGCGCTCTAACCACTGTGTCATGGCCGCAATTTAATACACGTATTTAATATAGTGTACATAGCACTAATAAACAATTATTAAAATACTGTTAATGCAAAAATAAGTTGCTGCTATGTAAAATTTGGTACCATAGCAACCAAGTTGTACTCAATGTGTAGTTTGAATACGACTGTCTACATCCATAAAACGAAGTGTTTTGACTTCCTTACATGTTAAAAAACAGGTTATGATCATTCATTTGCCGCCCTAACCCGCCCCAAAAAAGATGCATTTAATTTGGCACATTTAAGTAATATAATTAAACTTTTGTGTTATACCTATTCTAATATTCATTTATTAAACCTTAAAATAACATTAGCATAACTGTGGCTAAATTACTATTCTAATATTTATTAATTACACCCTAAAATGACATTAACATCTATAACTCTGGCTAAGTATTATCTTTTAAATATTCAATTGTAATAAAATAGAATTCAATACTGTTCTTATGCAAAAATAATTTAAAAAAACTGTGTAACAATGTAAACAGAATTATAAAAAATTTATCAACTTTTTACCAAATTATCATAAAGTCGTTCTGAAAAGATGATTAAGAATTATTTAAAAACAAATTTAATAAAATAACTTCAGAGCTTTAATTAAATATATATCTTTAGAATATTTTATTTGATTTTTAGATAGACTTTTGTCCAAAGCTGGCCCACTGTGTAATGGGATAAATATTTAGCTGTTTCTGAACTTTATCACTAATTCTGGTATTTCAAAAACAAGACATAGCAAAACTGAATGCAGCTGTTAACAATAATGTTACTAATTTTACCTGGCTAATGGAGTTTACTTCTTTAACACTTGCCCACTTCCACCAAACAAAATCACCTTTTGATGCATACAAAACTCTTGGCTCAAACCCAGTGTCTTTCAATTTGACTTCATGATGCTATGTAATAAATTTTTATTAAATAGATTACAACTGATGTTTTTTGTAACAATAACTTTGAGCAACTATATTTGTAATAAGTTATTTTGATGAAATTCAAAATAAATAAAAAAAATCTAACTTTAGCTTTTGGTTTGGATATTAGGCAACACCATCTTGTATTTTCATCATTTTCAGTTAAAGTAGATCGATATGTTTCTACACCACATTTTTCCATTATAGTACAGTAAACCCCAGCATTTTTAGTAACCATTGTGAATTCATTATCTATAAGGCAACAACCTGTGTTGGATTGTGTTTCAATGTGTTGGTCAAGATTTTCATCTTCAAATAATTTAGATAATTTAAAATCCTCTTGCATTTCTTCAGGGTGCCATGTCCACCAAATTCTATCACCTTCAGTAACTGATCCCAATGCTTAATTAATATATTTTTTATTTAACAACACACTGATTAATGAAATTAAATTTAATGTATAAATTATGTGCTACAAATACAATACACATAAAATAATATTAGTTCAAAAATTATCTGATGACTCTAAAATTAAAAAAAAATATTTTAATACTCAAATAAACAATTACAAACATTAAAAATTTAACTTTTTAACAAAAAATGTCATTTAATGTCATTTAATAACTTTTCTGAAAAAATTTTTACCTGGAAGGAACTGTTGCGGTGAAACTCTAACTACATGTTGTGGTGTTATGGGCTTGACTAAAACAACACACTTTGCAGAGGTTTCCTTATCACAAATCTCAAAAACTCCAATATCTTTAAAATCGAAAGCTAGAATGCAAGCATGTGATTTTAAATTACTATCTAAAAGTAAAACATCTGGGAACTCTAAAAGTTGGCAAACTCGTTTAATAAACACACAATGAAATGGTCTATTATCGTTGGAAAGGTCATCAGGGTGTAATTTGTTTTTCCATTGCACCCATACTCTTTCCCCAGCATTAATTTCTAATAGACATAATGAAAAGTTATTGCTTCTGAGTTCCAACAAATGTTCTTTTCTTTTTTCCAACACTTGCACAACAAAAGTAGCTTTTGAACTATAGGCTTCAACACCAGGATTAACAATCTTGTTTCCAGGCTTAGTAACCTCAGTAATAAAATAAAAAATACCAGGTTTTGTAAATGTTTGAAAATAAGTACCACTAAGAGATGAGTGCTCAGCATTTTTTAAACTGATATACCCACCGTGCTTTAAACAATACTTTACTTCCGTTACAGAGTGATAAATGCGACAGTCACTCCAAACCCAACGGATTGTGTCTCCTTTATAGAGTTTTAAAAGAGGCTTCTTAAATCCTTCATCAGTTACTTCAACATCAATAATAGGTTTTGGTCTCACAACAACTTTTAATGATGGATGTTTAGCAAATGCAAAAAAATACTCATTGCTACAATTAAATTCTTGAGTCCAAGTTTGTGTATGTTGTAAAACAGCTCCACTTGTAAAACCATTACAAACTGCAGCACCACTTTGCTGTACTTGGTAAATACTTTGATTATTCAAATGTTTAGCATCAGACATAAGTTGGAAAGTAATAGCTTCACCTTCAAATATTGAGACTTCACTTGGTTTAAACTGATTTGAATTGATTGAAACAACTTTGCTATTCTTTTCAACAACACCACCATGTTCTTGATATTTTAAGGTATAGTACTCAACTTCAGAATCTTTTTTTTCATTTTTTACTGATTTAATCACACTTTTTTGTCGAGTTTTCTTATTCTTGTGGGTTTTTGGCTGATTTGTTTCATCGCTTGTGTTTGCTGAATCTGTAGTCGTCCAGTCCAGAGGTTTTACCCAGAAACGTCTTTAAATAAAATAACATTTATAACAAGAAGATGATTATGATGACAATGATAATAATGATGATGATAATGATGATGATGATGATGATGCTGCTGCTGCTGATGATGATGATGATGATGATGATGATGATGATGATGATGATGATGATGATGATGATGATGATGATGATGATGATGATGATGATGATGTTTTAAAGCAAGTCTTTAAATATGAAACGAACGTCTACTCATTAAAAAGATTGATGGAAACATTGAAACATGTAAAATAACTTTTGCTACTGATCTTAAAAAATCTCACCTTGATGTTAACACCTTGCTTGGTAAGGTTCCTTTAATTAATGCAACAGCTCTGATAAATTTCAGCCCAGAACTTTCTAAAGCAACACCATTATGCTCATCATAACGTTTTGTTTGTGGATCACCAATTACAGGCATGGTTCCATCTGTTGTATAATAAACATCAGCACCTTGAAGGTCTATTGAAAGAAAAACTTTATGCCCTTCTTTCACACTACCTCCGTTATGATCTGATACTATTTCTGGTGCTTGAACTTTTTCGCCTGACAAATTAAAAAATGTAACAAAATATTTAAATGTTCAAATTCCTTATTAAGAGTTATTATACTTTAAATAATAAAATATTTTATATATACATTGTATTCAATATCATATAATAATTATTAATATTGTAATATAGTTTGAAACATAGCTCAATTTATAAACACAAAATAAGAAGCTTCAAAAATAATGAATATATTTAAAAAGACACCTGAGTCAGCAACATAAACATAACATTCGTATTTTCCATTTTGAGATGTTACTTCAACAACAAAAACACCACTCTGAACAAATGATATTACTCGACCAGTATGAGGAATAAACATACTTTCAGCCTCAACTAATTCATCAGTGTCTCTTTGTTTTACATTCCATTTCCATGTATCTTCTTTTTCTTTATTATATGTAAACAAAATATCCTTCCCCTGCATAAGTAAAATGTTTTTTAATTTTAACCATTTTAAACCCAGTTTACTTCAAACAACTTTTAAACAATATTTTTCATAATAAGTTTAATCATTTAATTAATCACATAACTTTTTCAAGTAATACATTGTCAATTTATAAAACAACCTGACTCACTAATGTTTAACGCAGAATAATTTCAATTATTGTTACTACCAATATTTTATACAAAAAATTAACATTGTAATTACAGATTTTTAGTTTTTATAATTTGTCTCCTACAACGATAGTGGCTACTCATTTCCTTTAAAAACAAATTCTCTTGGTTTTTTTTTTTTTTTTTTTTTTTTATTATTTTTTTTTTAACATCTTCGCTTTCAACAAGGCTGCAAGCAACCACTAATTAGTGTTGGAAAGTTACTGGAAGAGAAAAGATGAAGGTTGTAGAGCAAGATAACGATTGACAGATGACTTAAAAAATTGCAAATTATATGAATCAGGAAAGCAAGATGAAGGTAGCAAATTCCAAAGAACTGATGTTTGAGGAAAAAAACTAGACGAATAAGAGTTATTGGAGCACTTAGGAACAGTAAAGGAAAAAGGATGAGACTTAATTGAAAAAGATTATTGATACAAATCAATAATCTTTTTTTTTAACTTTCAATTAAAAAAAAATTAGAATGATTTTAATGGTTTTAGATCAATCAAAATTTTGCTGGATCCAAAATGTCCAAACATTTTGGTTGAATAAAAATATAAAACGTGAAACCAATACAGAAATGATGTTTAAACGAAATTATTATAATAACCATAAAAATCAAATTAGTCAGCAATATTTTTTCAATATATTTTTTGCAACTTTTAAAAACCATCCGTCATGTTTTAAATATAATGATAGAAAAATAATGATAATTATAATAATAATAGATAATAATAATAGTAAAGTAAAAAACTGTTTTACTATTATATTTTAAATAGTTACTTATTTTATGTTAAAGTTGAAAAAAAAAACATGTTACTATAAAAAAAATTCAATCCAATTAAACTTTGTTACTTATGTTACTTAATGATGTTAGGAAATGGAAAAAAAATAAGAAAAAAGAAAAAAATTTATTTTAGCAATTGGCTACACTATAAACCAAAGTTTTTGCAAAAACCAATACAAATCATTTTCTGCTACTTTGAAAAGTGTTAAAAAAATTTATCATGTAAGTTTTACCTTAATAGTATGAATAGTGTCTTGGCGAAAAAATGCAGGATCAATATTTTTAACAATACAATCAGTTTCTGCTGTATCCACCAACACTGTGCTCCATATATCCTCAGGCGAAAACTCTGATAACTGGTCTTTCTTGGTAAGTGACACACAAGTAAAATGGTAAACTCCTGGTTGAGAAAAATGTTGACTATGACATCGTCTAATGATTAAAAAAATATATTATTTATTTAATTGCAGTTCTTATATCCAATACTTAAATACCCATAAGACATTACCCATAAGACATTACCCATAAGACATTACCCATAAGACATTATTAAATACTTTTAACTATGTATATAACAAGTAACTGACTTAAATAAAAGTAACTGACTTCAATAAAATTAGGCTGACTTGAATAAAAGTTAACTTATAAGTTTTAATTTGAAAAAAAATAATTTCAAAGTTTTAATTTTAAAATAATTTATTTTGACTGCCATAATGGCTGACTTTAATAAAACTTAGGAAGAAAAAAAGCAAAAAAATCATAAGTTTTAATTTCAAAATATACATACACATGGGTAGCAAAATATGATAGAGGATGATATGAACCGTCTGGAAAATTCAGAAATGATAATCAGATAGATGTGCAAACAAAAACAATTAATGAACTAATGTGTAATCCAGACTAGTTATAAGGTAAAAATAATTAACAAATAAAAAATTTACTTTTTGTTTTCAATTACTTTTTTGAATAAGCTAAGGACTTTAATACAATGGAAAAAAAAATGAATTTTCACAAATATTTATATCATTATAGTAAAATATAAAAAGTCCATCAATAGTAAATAATGACGAACATTCTATGCAAAAAAAAAAAAGCAAAGAAAATCGATATTACCTTTCTGTAAAAAGAACCTCATCAGCTTCTTTGTCTCCAGGTTTAAAATAAGTTATTGAGCTTGAAACACCTTTTGGCCACATCCAACAAATAATATCTCCAGCACGAGCAACAACAGGGTCAGGACGTACTGATTTTGGAGAAACTTGTACTTTTATTACTTCCTCTTTGAGTTCAACAACAACAGTCATTAAATGATGTGAAAAATCAATACTTTAAAAATAAAAGAACTTAACACTCAATAAAACATCAAAATATAATAAACACATCTAATAAAATAAATTATAAGAAGATCTAGTTAAATAAAAACTATTTTTAATAAAAAAAGGCCATCAAAATTAAGAACTACATTTAAAATAATTACAAATATCTGACATTTTAAATGATGTATACAGGATTATACATTTTATGTAAGAGAGGAAGAAGGAGGAAGAGAAATATATAAAGGGAGATCTCCCTAAGAACCAATCTGTATTTTTCATAAAGTGAAATTTTAATGTTACTTTATGTTTAACTACAATCCAATACAAACAATATTTTTGTAAACTTTTATTACTTCTTTTTATATTCAATACAAATAAGTTTTAAGTTATTCAAAGAACTAAGTCTTTTTGGTTCAGATAAAGGATTTGTTATTTTAACTTGGCATTTTTACAGAACCCTTTTGTTCTCTACACTTAAATATATATTTATATATATATATATATATATATATATATATATATATATATATATATATATATATATATATATATATATATATATATATATAATATATATATATATATATATATATATATATATATATATATATATATATATATATATATATATATATATATATATATATATATATATATATATATATATATATATATATATATATATATATATATATATATATATATATATATGTATATATATATATATATATATATATATATATATATATATATATATATATATATATATATATATATATATATATATATATATATATATATATATATATATATATATATATATATATATATATATATATATATAAATATATATATATATATATATATATATATATATATATATATATATATATATATATATATATATATATATATATATATATATATATATATATAAAAATAAACTTACCTTCGAAAGTTATAAGTACCAGTTTCATGAAAACGAAACATAAATGCACCTGTCTTATCTTGTAATGGACATTCAAATAGACTGGGTTCTAAAGCCTCACCATTAACACCAATCTAAAATTTATAAGTTTTAGATGTTACTAATCCATGAGTCCAAATGATATAAATAAAATATATAAAGTAAAAATAAATTAAAATATATAACTTTAAATTAAAAATATTCAAAACTAAAATCTCATTTAAAAAAAAAAACTTTAGCACTATTATAAATACATTAAATTTGCTGATATTTTTAAAAGTTTTTTTTTCAATTATAAAGTAAACCAATTCATATATCAATAACTGATCATATCATATTATATCGTTACTGGATTGTATTATATCATATCACTACTGGATCATACAACACCATATTAATGCTATTGCAGGGGTGGAAATTGGTGCCAGACTTTACGATCCCCCTCCCCTACCATGTGTAGAACATTTCTAAGACATGCTAGAGGGGAGCAACCAACAATTGTTCATTTTGTCTGATAAAATAACCAATAGTTGGTTACCCTACTCGAGTGGGTATTTGAGCTGAATTTTTTTTTAAAAAACTTTAAACCTGCTCAATTCCAGTAGGATGATTAACTCCCATCCACTTCCACCAAACAAAATCTCCTTTTTTTATTAATAAAGATTTTGGCATAAAACCAAGTTCTTTCAGTTTGACTTCATGATGTTGTGAACTCGGTTGAGAAATAAGGCAGCAAAATCTTTGAGGTGACCCAGTACCTTTGATGTTTTTTGCAGTAAATGTTTCTAAAGGAAGAAAAAAGAAAAATGCCAATATATATCAACAAGTAAATCAATCAATAAATTTCATTATAATTTAAAGACGAAAAAAAAAATTTAAACAAGAATAAAAAAAAAGCTCACCAAAGTCTCACTAAAGTGTAATAAAATACTTTAATTTCTATTTAAATTCAAATTTTTATTAAAATCTAAATTAAAAAAATATGTTTACCTAATCCACATTTATCAACAGTTGTGGAAAACACACCAACAGATTTAAAAATATTTCGAAACACATGCTCCAAAATGGAACAACATTGTTTGGTAGCATCATTTAGAGAACTACTTTCACTGAGACGTAGAAAGAAAAAATCATCTTCCACTTCGGTGCCACTCCATGTCCACCAAATGCGGTCTCCCTGAATTACAGATCCTAAGGCTAAAAATTAAAAGTAAAGTCAACTCTTTTTCCGAGGGTTGATATAATTAGATATGTGTTTTTACTAAATTAAAATTATATATATATATATATATATATATATATATATATATATATATATATATATATATATATATATATATATATATATATATATATATATATATATATATATATATATATATATATATATATATATATATATATACATACATATATGTATATATATATTATATATATATATATATATATATATATATATATATATATATATATATATATATATATATATATATATATATATATATATATATATATATATATATATATATATATATATATATATATACATACACTATTTTATTATCTTCAATTTAATTTTACATCCATTTTTTAATAGTTTCATTATTTTTAAATACCATAATAAAAATCTAATGAATGAATTAAGGGAAAAACTTACCAGGAACAAATTCATCTCCTGTTATTTTAATGACATGTTGTTTTGGAGCAGGTTTTACTATTAAAACACATTTCAGTTGTGGTCGTTCTCCATCAAGAATTTCATAGATCCCAGCATTTGTGAATAGATACGAGAACAAACCTGCATAGCGAGCAGGGTAAGAATCTTCAGCAACAACTGTGTCCTAAATTTATTCAATAAATTGATTATTTTTGAGTTTAAACTATTCTAAATTTATAAATATAATAAAGCTTGAAAAACAAAAATATTTTTTATATTAATATTCAAAAATATTATTTTTTTAAATCATAAATCAACTTTATAGTTGTTGATTGTTATTGTTAAATATTGTAAGCAAAAACATTTTACTCATAATAATAAACAATATTTAAAAAAACTTTTTGCTCACAGTATTTAGCATAACAAGTGATCAAAATCAAATGAAACAAAACCTCGTCTACACTTTGAACTTGATTAAGTTCACATATCTTTTTGATAAGAACAGAGTGAGCAGTTGTAGAAGACTTCTTGCTTTGACGCCAATGTACCCAAACTCTATCTCCTACCAACACTTCGTATAAAGCATGCGTGAAACCAATGTCTTTAATGTCAAGCAAATGCTCCCTGAAATATTTTTATCTTTTTACAGAACCATAAGTAAAAATAAATAAAAAAGCAAACATATAAAAATGTATTGAATGTAATATAATAAAGCTTGAAAAGAGCCTAAAAATACAGGACAACTATTAGTACATATGCGCCAATAAAATTAGTTAAAAAATATACTATGTACATAATATATATATATATATATATATATATATATATATATATATATATATATATATATATATATATATATATATATATATATATATACATGAGAATCTTTTGCAAACCTTGATTTTTCCACAACTTGAACAATACAAAAGGCTTTATCTTCAATTACTGATTGGGTTTCAAAAAAATAGATGCCAGGTATGTTAAAGGTTTGAAAGAATGCTCCAGAATGAGATGGCTCTTGTTTACTATTAAATTTCATGTAACCGCCATGATCTACACAATATCTATTGAATAAAAAATTCCATTATTATTATCAAAATAGTATTGTTTTACATTATTGACTTATAATATTATACAAAATATAATTGTTCTACAAAGAAAAAAAAAGATGAAACAAATAAAAATGAACTATATATTATGATATTTGATAATAGTTATAAATAAATACTTTCTCTCTGTAATATTATGAAGTTCTGCACAGTTTTTCCATGTCCACCTAACAGTATCTCCTTTATATAGCCTAATTACAGATCCAGCAAAACCTTCATCAGAAACTTTTACAATTTGAACTGGTTTTGGACTCACAGCAATTTTCAACAACGGAATATTTCCACTAAAAAAAAAAATCTCATTCATATATATATATATATATATATATATATATATATATATATATATAATATATATATATATATATATATATATATATATATATATATATATATATATATATATATATCAGCGCTGGAAATAACGACTGATCAACAATCAATGATTGGCTATTTTTAGGAAAATTTCGAAAAATCCAAGGGAAAATAACCTGTTTTTGTGAAAAAATTACATTTGATTGGCAAACTTTAAAAAATTATTTTGAGCGCTAAAAAATCTAGAGCTTAAAATTTCTAATGCGAATTTAAAAAAATTATTTAGATTTACAACCTGTAAATTTCATTTTTTGTTTTGTGGTAAATTTTATAATTAAATTGATGGTATAGCTATGGAGTCTCCACTTGCTCCTGTTTTAGCCAATATATTCATTGAGAACTTAAAAAATAATTATTTAAATGAATTTAACAGGAATAAACCTTTATTTTATAAAAGATATGTAGATGATATTTTTGCATCATTTTACTCAAAAAACGATTGTACTATTTTTTTAGAGTATTTAAATTCTAAACATCCTAATATCAAATTTCCTTGTGAACATAAACAAAATGGCATTTTATTATTTTTGGATGTATGCATTAAAAATAATCATGAATTGATTGCTAATATTTACCATAAGGAGACATACTGATCTATCAACAAATTTTTTTTAGTTTTACCTTAATGAGCTACAAACTTGGGCTAGTTAAAACTCTTATTCACTATTGTTTTAAAATTAATAATACCTGGTTTGGTTACCATAACAATATTAATAACTTAAAAACAGTCTTAATAAAAAATCAGTACCCACGTAAATTTGGTACATCTAAACTCAACAATAACAAATCCCGTAATTACAAATATTATAGGTTCCCATATATAGGTGATAGTTCTAGAAATATTTAAAACAAGATTAATGAATTAACTAAAAAGTTATGTAAAAAAGATTTAATTATCAAATTATTTCTTCTTTTAAAAATAAGCAATACTTTTCACTAAAAGACTTACTTCCGAGAAATAGTAAATCAAACATTGTTTACAAATTTAATTGTGCTAACTGTATGTTTGCTAAATAGGACAAACTGTCGGAAACTTTTCACAATGCATTAATGAATATTTCAAGTACAATAAAAAGTCTAACATTTTTCATTATTTAATGAAAGACATTGAGTGTCAAAGGAGAGCCTCCTCTGATTGCCTATCTATTTTGGATTCTGTCTAAAGTGAGTAAGAATTAGAAATAAAGGAAATCTTGCATATAAAGTGGCAAAAGCCCTATTTAAATAAACAAGTCAAACATGGAATGTTTTGAACTATTTTGATTACTATGACTTGATGTTATTAATTTTTATTTTTATTTTTTTTTATTTATTAACTACTTGAAATCTTTTTTTTTTTATTGGGTTCTGAGACTGACATATTTTGCTTTTGTATTTTAATGGTCTTTTTAACCCTTTGTAATTTTATGATAGATTTTTGTAATAAAGTAAATAATTTGTATTCCTTATAAAAACGGGTTTTTTAATGATATTTGTAAATTTTACTGAAGATGAAGTATGTAGTTTGTCGTAATGTTGCTTCTCTTTCTCTTTTCTACAAATACTATAACGGGCACTGCTCTAAAGAGCTAGCGTCTCTTGTGCCATCTACTAAAATTCATTCTCGTGTTACTTGTCATTCAATTAAGTCTCATCCTTTTTCTGTTACTGTTCGTAAGTGCTCCAAAAACTCTTATTCGCCTAGTTTTTTTCCTTGAACATCAGTTCTTTGGAATTCACTTCCTCCATCTTGCTTTCCTGATTTATATAATTTGCAATCTTTTAAGTCGCCTGCCAATCGCTATCTTGCTCTACAATCTTCATCTTTTCTCTTCCAGTAACTTCCAACACTAATCAGTGGTTGCTTGCAGCCTTTTATATATATATATATATATATATATATATATATATATATATATATATATATATATATATATATATATATATATATATATATATATATATATATATATATATTAGGGCGCATCAAATGCCCCATACTTTCAAAATTTGATCTGTCCCTATTCTTAAAACCATCTGTTGGTTCTCACGAAATTTAGGGGAGCCACATTAAGTCTGTAACTTGCAACGAGACCCTAAACAGAAGAAAAAAAAGTTTTTCAACTGTATGTCATGTTGGGTCTCAAAAGAAGCAAAACTTTAAAAAATTTCAAAAATTTTTTTTAATGTATTTTAAACAAAAAAAAAATGATTTTTTGTTAAAAATACATTGAAAAAAAAATTTTGACCAAAAACCATGAAAAAATGGCTTTTTTTAAAAAATAATTCTTATGCAATAAAACTTATAATAATAAATATTATGTAAAATTTTTATTGTTTTTGAATTTTTTTATAAAATTTTGCTTCTTTTGAGACCCAACATGACATAAATTTGAAAAAGTTTTTTTTCTTCTGTTTAGGGTCTCGTCGCAAGTTTCAGATTTGAGGTGGCCCCCCTAAATCTCATTCAATTTTGTACTTGATTTATTTACCATATTTTACTATTATTGTTATGATATGTAGGGGCTTTTTGAAAAGATTAGCTTGGCATTTTGTTATCAGTATCTTCATTGAGCCTCTTTCTGTTTAATGTTTTATTTTATATTACTTTTATTAAATTTTATTTGTGTATATATATGTATATCTATATACACACAAACACATATATTTCTAAAAATTATATATATATATATATATATATATATATATATATATATATATATATATATATATATATATATATATATATATATATATATACATATATATATATATATATATATATATATATATATATATATATATATATATATATACATACATATATACATATATATATATATATATATATATATATATATATATATATATATAATTTTTAGAAATATATGTGTTTATATATATATATATATATATATATATATATATATATATAATATATAATTTTTAGAAATATATGTGTTTGTGTGTATAGATATACATATATATACACAAATAAAATTTAATAAAAGTAATATAAAATAAAACATTACACAGAAAGAGGCTCAATGAAGATACTGATAACAAAATGCCAAGCTAATCTTTTCAAAAAGCCCCTACATATCATAACAATAATAGTAAAATATGGTAAATAAATCAAGTAAAAAATTTAGCTAAAAAATATTCAACTAAATACACCAATAAATTCACAAATAGATAAAAAGATGTAATATTTAAAAATACAATTGCTGTCAGTAGTCAAATAGAAAAAGAAAATATATATAAATACAAATAGTCAAAAAGAAGATATAACATTTATACATACTAATTGTCACACATAGTCAAAAAAGAAAATATAGAATATTTAAAAATACAAACTTTCGAAAAATAATTAATATTATATTTAAAATACAATACATAAAATTTACATAAAATAATTAAAAATACAAACAGTCAAAAAAGTAGGTATATTTAAAAAACTTCTTTACAAAATTATAAAATTATAAATAAATTTTTTTTTCATTAAATTTAAAATGTAATTTTTTGTTTAAAACTGAAATGAATTTAATCATTTTGCCATACTTAAATTGTTTTCAAGAAAATATTTCAATAGCTAAAGTCCTCTATAATTTATACTATATATTCAGTGTATTTGTATACATTTTAAGGTAATTTATGTGTTACTTTGTATTTATTTTTAAGAAATACTTCTCATTCAATTTTTTATAAATTTACTTATAAAGATTTCAGGAGATTATTGGTATATTTATTCATAAAGTTTAAGTTTTAGTAAATATTTATTTGATATATTTTTATTATTTTTATATCTACCATTAAAGGTTTAGTGTGGTCCCCCTGTTTTTTGTTGAATATAATCCTACAAGCATATTTTTGTAAACAAAAAATTTTTAAATTATAGCTTACAATTTATTAAATAAAGTTTAAATTAATTTTTTAATTAATTAAATAAAGTTTAAATTAATTTTTTTTAACTTTCGTTAAACAAAAGTAAAACAAGTAAAAACAATACAATATCAATTATAAATTCAAAAATAAAAAATAAAACATCTTACCATTTAAAATAGTAATCACGTGCAAGATTAAACTCTTGAATCCATATCCCAGTAGGTAAAAGAGCTTTGGTTTCAAAGCCACCATCTACCTGTAAGCAGCTGTCTTGGTCACAATAAACCTAATACCATAGAAACACGCTTTACAAAAATTTGAAAGTTTAAGTTGACTTAAATCATTTAAGTCAACTTAAACTTTCACATTTTTTAAGTTGACTTAAAAAAAAATAATTTTATCTAAACTAAAAATAAAATAATTTTATCAGCTAAAATTTTATTGAAAAGTGGTTTTAAAGAAAAATTATACGAAATTATTATTATAAACTATATATAACTATATATATATATTATAGGTAATTACTATTAACATCATCTATAAAAGTAAGATTTTCAGAAAGATTATAACAATGAAACACCACTGAAGCTATGGTAACAATGATGAACTACTGAAGCTATGGCAACAATGATAAACTACTGAAGCTATGGTAACAATGATGAACTACTGAAGCTATGGTATTTAGAGGAATCCTGAGCTTACTTTTCTTTTTTATTTATTTAAGAATAACTTTGTATAAAAAGTATGAAGCTAATCTAGGTTTTAACAGTGGATTAATGTTAAAAACAAACCTAACTTTAATTTGAAGTTGTTAAATGTCTTAGATTCCATAATGCTTTGGTATAAGATATTCCCAATTTTTGGTTCAATCTTTTGTTAATTGAAGATGAAACCTCATATTAGGACCTCTTGTAGTAAAGCTATTAAATTATCTGGTGGGTATTCCCATGTTAAATTATCTAGTTGTTTTACAAATTTAAATAACTTAATTTAATCATTATAGTTATGTCATTTGAGGAAAAATGGCTTACACTTAAGAAAAACATTTACACTAAAACTTGAGAAAAAAGGTTCAATTTTTTTTTTAAACTAAGTTTAAACTTTAGTTTGTGACTATAAAGAAACTAGAAGTTCTTTATAGTCACAAACCATGTGACTATAAAGAGAATGTGACTATAAAGAACCATGTGACTATAAAGAACCATGTGACTATAAAGAACCTCTAGTTTGTCAAGAATACTTGCTTTACCCACTCATCTAATACAATTTGATTTGAGCCATGAAGTCTATGTCTTAAATGGCTTAGTATTTAGAAAAAAACTTTGAAAAAATTTTTTAAAAACAAAATGTTACCTATCTGTAAATAAACCATTGACCATGCAAAAGATATATTTTAGCACAAAAATATACACTATTTAAGAAACTGGTGTCAAAATTAGTAATTTAAGCATGCAAGCACTAGGATTATGAGTATAAATAAAGTTACAATAAGCCATTTGTAATTTTATGCTACCCAAAAAGAAAAAAAAATTATAATGAACATTTAGTTTCTAAGTTTCATTATGTTTCTGACTTAACAATGACAAAAATTTAAACATTAATTCGCAGTGAGACATACTCAAACCTAAAAATAATGTTTTAGAATTTGATAAAATATATTTTCATCTAATAATCTGGCTATTTAAAATTCTAAGCTGACATTTTCTAATGAGCTATTTTCTGTTACTTAAGTAATATTTCTATCATTTTATCTGGGTCATAGCACTTACTCTTAAAAAAGATGAGTTATTATTCTTAACTTATTTTTAGTTTGTAATATTTAAAGAAACCTTTTATTTTTTCACAAATTTTTTAAATAAATATGCCCTAACTAAAATTTGTTTTAACTTTTTCTTTTGTTTTGATTCTTTTTCTCGATCATAATAATAAAAACACATGACATAAAACTGTTATAATGCTTGGTTGATCTTAAAAACTCAAACATCATTGGTTATTAAAATTGATTTCAAAAACAATAAAAATCCTAATCTATTTGTTCAGTTACAGTGGCAACTTTTAACAATATATATTATATATTAACTGTGAAATGGAAAATTTTTATTTGTAGTGTCTGAGGTTGTATTTTCTAATTAGCTCATCTTTTTTATAAAAATTACTACAACAAAATTACTAAAAGATTTTCGGTTATATAAGTATTATGGTTATAACATTTTTAAGTTTTAAAAGATTTTTTTATTATTAAAAATACTTTTTATCAATAAAAATAAAAAGATCATGCAGTTTTACATGTTATGTTGTTATACCTGATATAT